TCTCTCTCTCTCTCTCCCACCCTCTTCCTTCTCCTCTTCCCCTCCCACAATGTTTTATCGTCTCTCTCAATTTACAAATTGTTTTCCTGTCGTGCTATATTGTGAGTGGAGTGTAATTGCTCTTTGTCTCCTGGGTTGAGATTATGGAAGATATGCAAATCTGAGCGGAGAGCTCCACATACATTACCACACTGCCAAAGCAGCTCACCACCACACTGACTTTCATTTAAACATTAAAAACATGCCTGTGTGTATACGCTGGGTTCAGTTCTCAAGGAAGACTGAACATCACTGTCCCTATGCTAAAGACACTAGAGCTGAGCGTTTTTGTTTTTTTTTTCTTCTTGAATGGATGTAACCCAGTTTGGAATTGAGCTTCATCCCTACTAACCTCAGCAGGGCCTCGTTTACCTACTGTGTCAGTGCACAGTTTTGTTTGTGTAAATCTTGCAAATGCTAATTTTGAGCATGACCGTGATTTAACGTTTTTTCCTTGTGCATATATCTAGAACTGCTCTTGACCATGCATACACAGAAACCCCTAGTGGTAGAAACATGTGATTGTGTGTAAACTTCTTCTAATTTTTTGCCATTTCAACATAATTGATGGAATGATTGGTGACTATAGTGTTCATAAATGGTAAAAAAGTTTTGTTTGTTCAACCTAATAATGATACTTATGGTGACAAGTAGGTAAATAAATACTCTGTTTGAAATAAAGCAAATGAAAGTAATATTTCAGATGAGCAAAAAAATCAACTGTGCTGTTGTACATTTTACAGTGTTTAGGTGAGGTGCAAGCAGATGTCACAGATGACAGTTGATTTAGGCTCATAGCAAATTGAAAATAAAATCTTATTATTGCACATCTGTAGATTGATTGTGATGACATAGGCGGTGGCTGGTGCTGCTTTGAAACTTGGGAAATTACATATTATTTATTAATACGACTAGAAATGAAAATTGAAATGTAAAAAATCTGATTCTAACATTCAAATTTCAGTTTTCACTAGTAGGAGTTATGTTCTAGCATGCATCAAATTCAGTTATGGCTTTTCCCAAGTCATTTTAATAGAAAGAACAATTTAGTCAAATTCAGTTTTAACATGCAGGAATGTATTCGTCAAATGTAAAAAGTAAAATGTTAAAATTCTGATAATTAAGTTGTTATTATTAAATCATTGTTGCATGTTCAAATTCAGTTTTTACAAGTGAGAATTTAAGCATTAAATGGCCAAATCTAATTGTTACATATTATATGTACAATAGGAAGATGTGTATCTCCATGTAAAAGTTTTTTCATTCAGACTTGTTATATGCTTCATAGGCTACTCAGGACTTTTAAAGTGAAGTTGTTCACTATGTAAAGCCATCTGGGGGCATTTCTTTATGTTATATTACATACTGCAATGAATAAATACCAATTTTTTAGTGAAGAAACTAGCGGTTCTTTTGCAATGATGTGGAACACGTTCTACACACGCATTGATCCCGTCCCTGTTCGATATTCCCTAATCAGCTTCTTAACGATCCCTCAGTGTAAAATCATGATAAATTATTATTATTATTGTTCACATGTCATTCCAAGTTTTGGCCTTTCACAAATAAGTGTGACTTTGTTTGCATAATGCCATTTGATGGACGTTAATATTTTTTTATGTATTGTTTGCAGTGTTAGCTTTCTTCACTAAACTATTTCTTCAGTATGTCTCTGATTCATGCTGTGTTCAAGTAGGACGTCCCAAGAGCCGCTGGGCTGGACGGCAGACAGCGCCAGACAGGGCAGGCTGGTCACAGAGAACAGAGAGAAGCAGGTCACAGTTGAATAAGGAGAGACGCACAGTGTCCCCAAGCTGTCAGAGAGAGAGAGAGAGAGAGAGAGAGAGAGAGAGAGAGAGAGAGAGGGAGACGGGGAGAAGGGGAGAAGAAGGGCAGGTATACAGAGTACAGAAGGGGAGGGAGGGGGAGAGAGAGACAGGGAGAGAGAAGAAAAGGAGAGAGCAAGTAAGGCAGGACATGTAGAGGGAGAGAGAAGGGAGGACGGGTAGAGAGAGGCAGGAAAAGAGAGAGAGAGAATGAGGGAGAATGATGAAGAGAGAGGGGAGGGAGAGAGAGGCAGGGAGAGAAAGGAAGGAAGAGAGAGAAGGGATGAGAGGAGAGAGAGAAGCAGACAGGAGAGCTCGAAAGAAAGCACCAACATGTGAAAATATATGCCGTATCTCTATTTATGTCAGTGCTGTGGACCTATTGACCTAATTAATTCATGAACCTGCTGCTGTGTTTTATTCCTGATCGCGCAGCACAGCTGCAGCTTCTAGAGCTCGCAGGGGTTCGAGTTGCTATGAATGAAAGATTTGTTTGCTGTAATCTGATTCATAGCCTGTTCTGAGAGCAATTCCATGGAGCTGTTTAGTATATAGCCTCTTCATAATAACCTGTCTGTTACTCATGAGGGCAGAGCAACAGGTTAAGCCCTTAAACTGCGAGCTGCAGTATGTTGGCTCCTCAGTCTCACAACTGCTTCACTTTCATATTGTATTTATAGTAGTTACTGAAGGATTCACAGTAGTTACTGAAAAGTAAGCTTTAAGATTAATAAGCGAATAGCAATCGTAGATTATAAAGGGTTAAGGCAGAGCTCCCCACTTGGTTATCAGGTAATTGGATTATGGGTGAATTTATGAGGTATGTGTGGCTTTGTTGCTGTGAGAGGACACCGTCATTCAGGAGCTATGCTGGGGACGCCAGGGGCTTCGTGTCTGATGGACGTTCGGCGGTGGGCAGGGCTGGAGTGATTTGAGGCCTGTGATTGGTCAGCTGTGCGAAAAGGCAGGCACAACTGAAAGAGGAATCGAGGAATAGAGTGAGAGAGGGAGGGTGGGCACTCCTCCCTCATCACATCTCCTCCTCCGATTCAGTCCCTGTTCTGTTCAGCACTGAGGAGGAGGTGAGGAAGCGGGAGGAACGGAAAGATAAAAAGGATCAGCCAGCTGAGCCTGCTTTTGCTGCTTTTCTGTCCTTCTATCTGTGATGCGTGAGGAGGGAACAACGACAAGATTCTGTGAAACGAAGAACAGCGCCGACTTTGATAAAAGAAGCGCATAAGGGACGAGGAAGGATGCACAGAGGAGCAGAGCGATACAGAGAAAAGGAGAGACAGAGGGGGATATAAGGAGAAGTGGGATGCCTCCTCAGACCGTCATCTTATAGCAATAAGGAGATAACACTTGCATGAAGCAACAGGATCCACTCTGTGTGCCAGTTTACCAGCAGTGCTGTAAGAAGAAGAAAACACTGAATGATGCCGTTGGATTATAGATGCAATTTTAAGCTAATATTTTTTGTGTAACTTTGGTTTTAAATGTTAGCCTTGCTCAGGATCCAGGATTTCTACACTATTGTCATGTCCAGTTAAGGACAACACATTTTGTATTACTTTTAACCCAACCAGTGCATAATCTAATTCAGATTTTTAATGCTATGATGTGCCAGAGATGTTAAAATAACATGGTGTTAATTTTTTATAGTGTATCTGTGCACTCCAGCTGCGCTTTACTGCCTTTCTTTTGATGCCTGCATCCCCGTCCCGAAGAGGGATTGACCTGAGACGTCACAGCGAGAGGGAGTTTTGGGATGCCGGTGTGAGAGCAGGTGGGGGACGAAGCCCCCTCTATCTCTATAAGAGTGTTTTTTTTTACCTCGACATGTGCAAATCTCTCTCCTCCTGGCTCTGCCTGTCTCCCCTGTCTGTGATTTATCTGCCATCTGCAGCACACCTGCGAGCATGGTGTCAGTGCGCGCGGCTGCGTGCGTACTGTAGGCGGCATAAATAGGAGGATGCGTGCTTGTAAACAACAGCAGGAGACTGGCAGGAGAGCTGCAGCACCACCACTTCCTCCCTCATCCTCATGCTCTCACTCGGGCAGGGGAGTTTGACGCGTGATGGACAAATGTTGTTTATCCATGCGGAACAGATAGGATCCATAATGAAAAAGCTGGAGCAGGGGCTCTGAGGCCTCCGCAACTCTCTTTGGGGTTTTGGGAGACCCAGATAGTGTAAGAGAGAAAAACTGAGGCTTTGAAATTGTTTTCAGGCCTGAATAATGTAGGTGACAACAACATATTTAGGGTAGCTTCAGTTGTTTGTTTTGTTACTCCAAAGAAAACCCACAGACAAAACAGATGGAACTGACCTCACCAAATGCTAGAGAAAAAAATACATAAGAAATCTTACACTGTGGAGGCACAAGGGCTCTGAAGAGGGGGCGTCCTTTACAACATCTCACTGCTACAGCCGTCCTAAAGCCTCCCTTAAGAGTTTCCTCCACTCTCTCAGACTATTGAGTTCTTTCTCTAAGTGCTCCTTTCTGAAGGTCCACCATGATCGGCGTGAACAGTATCCACTCGGCAGGCCGCCTGCGCTCACGCTCGCTCTGCTCGGTCAGGTGCGGCCGGGACTTTAGCGTCATGGACCCTTTCCGCTACACCAAAGCACCCCGCTCGCGCTCCCTCAGACCCCTCGCCTTCCCTGACCTTCTGGGCAAAGTGCAGGACGGCCAGAACCACCCACAGACTCGCAAGAAGAAGGAGAAGGTACTGAGAGAGCGGTGGCAGGCCCCCTGACCAACATTACCTCACATTCTCAGTTCTCTACCTGGTGGGAGAATCTTCATGTTTACCTGGGGGCTTCACCCTGACTTCTCGTGATAAAGCTTTTAAACTCTAGGCCAGTTACTCTTAGCTTGTACTTATAGATTAAGCTTAGTCTCAAGCCTGGTCCCACCTACAGGTTCATACAGCATAAGGGGTTTCTTAATGTGTTTTTGTGGATTTGAATGTGTTTTGTCTTCTGGTTAGTTAATAAAGTTAATAATAAAGTTAATAATCTGGTTAAATAAAAAAGTTGATGTTTCATGGCTAAATTAATGTGGTTATTTTATAATGCCAGTCATATCTTACAAACACATATCTATGTTTATCTGTGTGTTTGTTCTTTCCAGGCACTCTACAACTCCATCAAGAATGAGAAGCTGCAGTGGACCATGTGAGTTTAACCTTTTGTTACCTTTGCCAGTTGTCCAGTGAACTCCCTAAAAATAAGAGCATGGGCTTTCATCTCTGGGTCTCATCCTTAATATGTCTGACTGCTGTGGCACAACGACGGCACAGTAGCTCTGGTAAACAAGGCAGGCTGCCCGTAAGGAATCAGTTCAGATGCAGTTATGTGGCTGATTGCGATGTGGGAGTTGGTGGTGTTATTCTGAGGCGTTGCATCTCTAACCTAGGCAAAGCTGTGTGATGCCCCTGATTTACACTTTGGCTTTCCAGACTTTGTTGCCATGGCTACAGCTCCCAAGTTGCCTCACTGTAATTACAGGTTGAAATCTCTCACTGGCTAATACACACTCTTGCGCTCACACTCACGCAGAGAGAGAGGGAGAAAGAGAGAAAAAAAGAGAGAGTCCCTGCTGCGTGGTGTGGCTGCTCGAGGGCTCTGGGGGGGATTTGGTGCAGTTGTCTGTGTGCTGTGAATGAGGGAGGAGAGAGCTAGCTTTGTCTCTTCTCTTATTCTCTTTCATTCAGCAAAACTCCTTTCATCTCTTTCTCTCTCTCCCTACATCCCCACACTGTTCTCTTTTTATGCTCCCTTTTTATGCTTTCTCTCTCTTCTCTTAGCCTGTCTCTGTCTCTCTCCCTCCCTCCCTCTCTCTCTCCAACTCTCCATCTCTTGTACTGGCTCTCTAGATACTGGCAGGGAGTCCAGCAGTTACTAAGCAACAGATGAGAGCATTACCATTTGGAGGCAAAGGCTACAGTATATGTACCAGTTATAGAGAGAGAGAGAGAGAGAGAGAGAGAGACTGAGAGAGAGAGAGAGAGTGCAATTTAAAGGAACAGGCCTCAGGGGCCCTTTAGGCTGTAAGGTTGCTGTACCTGCAGAGCTGTCATGCGGTGAGGGGCAGTTGGAGTTCAGCTTCAGCCACAGAGCTGTTTGGAACAGGATGAGGAAAAACCACAGGGAGCCATTTCACATCTCTGCCCTTTACCTATAACATGACCCTTCCATTTCACCTGCAGTTGGACTCCATGCCCAGAGAACACTCTTTCAGAGCACAGAGCAGTCCTACAGTTGGCCCCAGTGCGCTCGTGAGCAACATCCGGATGCATAATTCATATATGAGTGATATGCGTGTGAAGGCCGCTCTCACATGTTGTGCTGAGAGATGATGTACAGATCTTTGCCATGTGCTGGGTGTGCGTGGGCTACGTGCACACTGTGAGAAACTGGAAATCACTCTCTCATGTTTCTTTAACTGCCTCTAGCATGTGGAATAATTTGAAGTAGAGGAAGATGTAGACTATGTTTTCTGTTCTGACTGAAAACAAATATTTAACAAATAATAAATATAACAGTTAATTAACAAATAAATAAATGTTTATACAGTTACTGAATAGTAAGTGTTAAAATGATTGAGAACTGAGTAATTACTGTGTACTTGTAGGAGTTAAACTCAGTGGTAAACTGTGATACTTGTATGAGATTTCTGCTAGCATCTCCATGGGATTCTAGTAATATGTTAGCGCTAAGCTAAAGGCGATTTACATGAACATTTTTTGGCTATTCTAAATTAAACACAGACATTTGAAGCCTCTAAAAGAAGTTTGGAGCTTGTAACAGACGTATTAACATATATTTTACCTTGGATCAGTTTAGTAAATAGCACTGGCGAGAGCTTCCGCTGTTTTCCATTTCTAATACATTACTCAAGCAACCGCTCATATTCACACTCAGTGACGTATCTAGGACTTCCAGAAGGCATGGAGTGATGTTTTTCTCACATAATCCAAACCCCCCCCCACTGGAAATCAAAACGTGATTGATTCCACTATCAGTTCCTAATTATGTTAGCGGTTCATCTGACACATTAGGCCTTCAGTTCAGCTCCTGAAGTCCTAACCAATGAGAGAGCCCCCTTGGTTTTATCTACCTAAATACCTCAAAGGATTGAATAACATTCTGTTGGGTATTTCAAGAATTTCCAACCAAAACTTAACAATGAAATTCAAGCATTACTACAACACTTTCAGAGGCTAAATACAACAAGCATTATGGTTATATTAAATTAAAATGAACTAAAAATTATAAACATGTTTACATGTATATGTATTTTGTAAATGTATATGTAAGGGAAATGAGGCTTTTGTTCCTGCTAGAGTCTTTTCTCTGTGTAAACAGACAAACATATTTAAATGTCTTGTGGCCTGTGGGATGCCACATGTAGATGTTGTCCAGAGGACTGTATTGGGGCATTTGACCTCATTAAAGCCGGGGTGTCTGGCTGTTAGTGAACTGCCAGTGCGTTGTTGGCTGGAGGAGTTCGAGCTGGGCGCTGTGCCAAAGACTCGGAGAGACGAACATTTCAGCTTACAGGGGAGATCCATGCTGAGAGAGAGAGCTTTCAAAAGGGCAGAGATGTTTCTGTGTAGCACTGAGGGGAAGGAGAGAGAGAGAGAGAAAGAGAAACTCTACCTGGATGATCCAGTCCAATCCAGTGGCGGAGCCCCCCACTCCTTTTATCCTATATGAATATATAAAATAGCCAGTGAATGTTTTTATTTTTGCTTAATGTACTTTAGTATTTGGAATACATTTTGGAATTAAACAATATATTTGAAATGTATCTCATATGTGAAAAACACATGCCAATGTGTATATTTTCTGAATGGGATGTGAATATGTTGTGTAGATTCTTTTTTATCATTTTTTTCCCATGTTTTTGTTAACCAGGGCTTACAGGATAGTACATATAAATTAAATACGCATAAATTATTACATTGGTTGAAAGGGACAAATTGGTGAACAACTGAAACAGAATAGATAAACACGTGTGGAATACATGGGCATGTGTTTTTACGTTTGAGATACACTTCTAATATATTGTTTTATTCCAAAACATATTTCAAACTCTAGAATACATGAAACAAAAATACAAATTTTGACCATTTTCATACATTTTAAATCTGTGTATTAAATAGACTCTTCATATATTTCTTTTCCTTATGAGTAAATGAAGATCTAATATAGATATTTAATAAAGTACAAAAGAGATAAGAAAGTCATAATTGATAAATTATTAATGACAAAACAATGAAAAATGTTTTATTTCATGTGGTTTCACTGTTGTGACATACTAATAAACATATGGGGGCTTCGATTAAAGCTACAGCTACAAGCATCAGGGTGACTAATGTACAGTCGTTTCAGAGAGCTCTGTAAAACATTAAAGGCAGATGTTGGAGTGTGGTGGCCTCCAAAGGTTTTAAATCTTTAATTTTGTCTTTAAATTTTGATTTAAAGAACACGTTATACAAGATGTACAAGCTCAGAGTGGTTTGTTTAAATTTGCATTGTTCACAAGAAGCGAACACAAGCAGCTTGTATGGCTTTTGATGTGATTGAACAGCTTCATGTAAAAACTGTACTTATCTGAAAACAATAAATTTGATACAACTAAAATGCTTTACAAATTTCTTAACGACTCTTTCGCAGGGATTTGCTGTTTGCTATTTGCTTTGACATCCGAGTTCCCAGTATTCAGAACATATTCAGGAATTGTATGGGATGGGGTGTGTGATTCTAGAGAACATCACTGTAACAGGTGTAGTGTGAAAAAAGAGAGATGTGCTGTATTTGTGTTCTATGATCAGGACTATAGTAACAGTGGGACCTGCAGATGGTGACAGTTCTGTTGTGTGTGTTTATGTATGCATGTTTTTTCACAGTGATGAAGAGGAGCTGCGTAAGTCTTTCTCAGAGCTGGCCGACAGCAGGACGGACTCCGCGTCCCACACTATGAAGCGGATCAGCAGTGGAGGAAACCCTCTAGTGAGTCTGGCTCAGCAGTCCAGCGCTCAGGTCTATAAGAACGGCTTCCTCGTTCGCAAAGTCCACGCTGACCCTGACGGCAAGAAAAGTATGTTTCCCTCCTCCTGTCAGTCACTAAACTGAAGTAGTTTCTCAGGCCATCACAGATCTGTTAGGCCGTGCACCACTTTTAATCATACACTGATGTACATTCATTATTCTGAAGTAATGTAATTTGAATGATGAATCTCTGACCTCACTTCAATTCAATAATAATTCTTTAGGAAAGGATTCAGTTCATCATGACATCTAGAATTGATTTTAAGGTTCTTTTGTTGGTTTTTAAAGCTGTTAATGGATTAGCATACAAATTTTTCATGGGAAAAAAGGGCTTTTCAGTAGTAATGGCTACTTCATCTTAAATATATTGTGTTTGTATTGATAATATATTGATAAATGGACCATTCTACTGAATTAGTTCAAACTACAGCCTCACAGTAAAAAAAAGCTATTTATAAAAACAACTAAGCATTCAGACTAGATAGATATTTACAAGGATTACGTTATGATCTATTTAAACACAAGACACTAACTGAGATACTTTATTGAATATCATTTTAATAAATGATTATTGATTCTGCCATTCCAAGATTGATGCCATTGAATTGCCACTTTCAGATCAGTGGTATTATGATTCATTGTTATTATTTATTAGTTGTAGTTTAATCACATTAATCACATTTGTTTAATTCATTCTTATAGCCCCTCGAGGTAAGAGAGGATGGAAGTCGTTTTATGCCATCCTGAAAGGACTGGTCCTCTACCTGCAGAAGGTAACTTTATACCTGTCCGTGGCCTGCACTCAATTATTACACAGACATGACCCCTCCCTCCCCTGAGCAATGTGTCCCTCCTGTCGGCCTGCAGGGTGAATATCGAGCAGATAAGCAGCTGTCTGATGAGGATTTGAAGAACGCTGTGTCCATCCACCACTCGCTGGCTATGAGAGCAGCAGACTACAGCAAGAGACCTAATGTTTTTTACCTGCGCACTGCTGACTGGAGAGTCTTCCTTTTCCAGGCTCCGTAAGTCCATTTTTCCTTCCATCAGTCCATTCAACGAATCTGTTATTATGTCATTGCTATCCTGCACAAACATCATTTCCAGTCAAGGGTGCTGGTAGGAATTTTGGGCCTTGTGAAAACTTTATGCGTTTCCTCACCTCATTTCCTTCAGCGGAATCTGAAACAAAACATATTTTCTTATAGACCTAACTAATAAGAAATAAGAACTCTCTGACCGGTCTAAACCACTGAACGTTTACACAGAGGGGTCCACTGGAGCGGTGGCAGAATCTAAGATGCTTTGCTGTTGGCACTGTATCTAAAATCTTTAATTATTATTTAATTCAGCAACCCTAAACACCTAAAAGTCACATGCATAAAAAAGTACAATCATTTTGGGCTCTTGTCTCTTCAGGGCTTTCGGAATCATCCTAATTTTTCACCCCCTTATGGGACGTTGCAAAGAATGCACATACCCTAATGTAACACAGTTGAATGCTTCAGATCAACTTCTCTGACACCGGTTTAAGGTTATACAACGTCTGGGAGAGAAGATAGGGCAGTAGAACAAAGGGCATTATTTCTGAACATGATTATGAGCAAGATATTGTTAGCTCAATTTGCTGGGTCATCAGAAAGACCTATATCCAGAATACACACACTTTCATCCACACTCACGCGCACACACAATGTTTTTTGTACAATGTCAGGACATGGGGGCCCAACCCTAAACCTAACTTTAATCTTAGTAACATTGTAGGACATTGTAGTTTTTTTCAGGGCATCTTGTCCTGAAAATGTGCAAAAACAAGCATATGCACACACATTGCCCTGGCTCCGTCCTGTCTGTTGATAAAGTGCATGGCTTATAGTGTCCTTGTCACAGACCTCCATTCAGATGGTGGTTCGATCATGTGGCTCTCTCGAGGACAGAGCCTCGCAGTGTGGCCTAGATTAATCTACTGAAACACTTGCTCAGAGTAATGCTGAGAGACACTTTAATGTGCATGCAGAAATACACATTCACTGCAGTTCCTCCACTCCTGACTCGTCAAACCAAGTCATTTTAGACCTCACTTTGTTCACAGAAGCACAATTATGCTGGAACAGGAAAGGGTCTTCCCCAAACTGTTGTCACAAAGGTGGAAGCACATTATGGTCTAAATTGTCTTTGTATGATGTAGATTAACGTTACATTTCACTGGAACTAAGGGGACCAAACCCTGAACAGCCCCAGACCATTATCCCTCCTCCACCAAACTTTACTGTTGGCACTATGTATTCTGATAGGTAGCATTTTTCCAGCACCTGCCAAACCCAGAATTGTCTATCAGACTGCCAAATAGTGAAGCATGATTCAACACTGCAGAGAACACATTCTCACTGCTCCAGAATCCAATGGCGGTGTGCTTTATGCCAATCCAGCTTGGCATTCCGCTTAGTGAACTTAAGCTTGTGTGCAGCTGCTCGGCTATTGAAACTCATTTCATAAAGCTCTCGATGCAGAGTTCTTGTGATGATGTTGCTTCCAGAGGCAGTTTGGAACTGGGTAATCAGTGATGCAAGAAAAGACAGGCAATGTTAACATGCTACACGCTTCAGCATTTGGTGGCCTCGCTCTTTTTTGTGGTCTACGGCTTCATGGCTGAGCTGTTGCTCCCAAATGCTTCCATTTCTCAAAACCAGCACAGTTGACTGGGCCAGATCTAGCAGGGCAGATATTTTGTGCACTGACTTGTGACAAAGGTTCAGTATGACCCATTCTGCTGCCATTGTTTGTCTATGGAGATTGTATGGCTATGTGCTTGATTTTATACACTTGTTAACAGTGGGTGTGGCTGAAACACCTGAACTCAAACATTAGAAGTGTCCAAATTTGGCCATATACTCCATATCTAACATAAATTAATCTGTAAACTGCCATGATAGTGTAAAATTGTTGAAACATATAATTCATAATTAAAGAATAATAAAATAAAAAAGAGGACTGGACTGGACTCACTGTAGATGGCCCTCTACCTCCCCTATCACTCAGCATGATGCTAGCCAGTGAGGCGTCTGTTGGCTAAAGTAACAGAATAGGCAGTTAGCGTTCTCCTCCAAGCATGTTGAGCTGTCCAATAATGTTGCATAAGCAACAGTTTGAAAAGATGAGATGTGTCTGCATCAGGAAGCCTGTACTAGCTTTCTCCCTTTTGATAGCTTGATAGTGTAACGTGATGAGGACAGCTACAAAACTGGGAAAAAATGGATAAAATACAAACAAACAAATTAATTAATTAAAATAGAATTTCTCAAATTTCGAGTTTCTGTCACTTGGTAGGAAAGCGGGGGAAATGAGGTCACAGGTCACTAGTAACTTGAGATCAGCATTTAAGAGTTACTAAAACACAAACATGCAGCATAAGCTGTCTATCAATGGGACCTAGGATGACAAATGGGTTATGCACATCCTCTGGAGTAGCTGACTGAAGAATCCTTAACTGTGTTGTTCAGTGCAGTCTTTGATTTCATGCTCACTCTGAGCTCTTGCTTTTTGTCCTTCAGTAATGCAGAGCAGATGCAGTCGTGGATCACCCGCATCAACACGGTGGCAGCCATGTTCTCCGCTCCTCCCTTCCCAGCAGCCATCGGCTCCCAAAAGAGGTTCAGCAGGCCTCTCCTGCCGGGCTCCAGCACCAAGCTCTCCCAGGTACCCAACAGCCCCCTCTCCCTCATCCAGGTACATATCAGCTCCCACTGATGCTCATTAACTTCGTCCAGTAGTTCCTAATCCTGGCCCTGGAGAATTCCTGCCCTGCACATCTTTTCCTGCTCTAACACATCTGACTAATTATCTGAGCCCTTCCCGCATCCATGCAGAGCAGGGAAAACACTACAGTGTGCAGGGCAGGGGCACTCCAGGACCAGACTTGGGTCTATTAACTTAGTGCCTTCAACCACCTGCCCAACAAATACCCAAACACCCTACCCTGTCAACATCCAACACCCTGGAGATCTCCACCCAGCTGATCCTACTCCACTATGCCAAGTCCCTGTTTGTCAACCCCATACAACATCAGCTGTGTCTGAGCAGCATTTGGTTTTGTTTTCTGTTCTGTGTGTTCAGGAGGAGCAGCTGCAGGCTCATGAGGCGCGCTTCAGAGCCATTTCCTCTGAGCTGCAGGAGCTGCGCTCTGTTCCTCAAGAGCGGAAGACTAAAGGGAAGGATCAGGACGAGGGCAAGCAGAGAGAGGAGTACCTGGATTTCGAGGTGAGGCCTGTAATGTCTGAAAACCACCAATTCTCTGAGAGTCATTTTTCCAAAGCCGCAGTCATTTTGCTCTGTGCACACGATGTAGAAGTGGCTTCTCTGGTGTTGCCCGGCTAGTAATTTAATAATAAATATGAATTAAAAATAATCGATTCTTAGATGCATCACAATTCTATCTTGAAAATTTCTGAATTGATCCACGTCATAATTTTTATACAGGCTCTGCATTTCCTCTACTGTTGAATAAACTTAAGCGATTTCATGTAAAAATTCCAAAACCATAGTAAACTTTAATCTTCATAAGCATATGTCTTTGCAGCAACCGCAGTGGCAAATTACTAACAGGCTAACAGGCTTGTATTAATAATTATCTAATAATATTCAGAGGTAAAGCTGCTCTTTGTAAGATGTTTTATTGTAAGATTGAAAGAAGTAGCACTACTGAGTCAGGAGGAGAAAACACCCTAATTTATGGTGTGCATGTGCTGCTGCAAGTCACCCTGTAAAGCCTGTCCAAAAGAAGGTCTGGCTCGATATTTAGGTCTCAAATGCAAAATTAGCATTGTGCTGATGAAGACATGATAATAATAATAGATCATAGACTCCTTTACCAGACGGGTCCTTTACCAAGTTGTGACTCATTTTAACAATGACCACACATTATTTTCACTGTACACTTCAGTATACTACTCTGACAGCTACAATATATGAAGTAGGCTACACGATGGTAAGATGAGGTAACTATCAAAAATTTGTAGCTACCAATATTTACTATTGTATAATAACAGCTATCGTTTATGATGTAAGCTAAATACTTTTTTGGCCGCACCCGCATACAAAACATTCCTCTGCACATTGCATGCAGTTACACATTTTCACCAGAGATGTCTCCAAATCCTCAAATCTAACATAAGGCAGCTTTATGCTAAGCAAAACCTAAATGTCAAATGTTATAAGCTTAAAATATCGACATTTTACCACTCTGTGTAAGTCAAGGTACAGCAGTGTTAGCTTGGTGCTAACATAACATTGAAAACCTCATTCAAGCACTATTAAAAGTTAGCAATAGTGTAGTGCTGTTATTTGGGTAAAAAGCCTTCCTTTAGGTTTGATGTTTCTATATGAAATATTGCTGTATATGCATGTGTTTATGAATATATATATATATATATATATATATAACCAATAAAACGCTTATGGAATGACTGGATTATCCACTGCATTACTGTTTTAGTGTGCTCTGTAGGTTGTCAACTCCAGACCTTGTTTTTTCTTTTTTTAATAGTATATTAAAGTAGTAATTACAGTAATAGTAGTTAAGTATTTTTTCCATTTTTTTTTATTTTATTTTAAACGTATTAGGTGGTCAAATAGGCCTGTAGACTTAAGAAAAGTGCAGAGTTGTGGCTATATTCAAATCAGCTAAGAAAGTAATACTTCTTGATGATAAATACTGTAAAAAAAATGAATGTAAGCTATAGAAATAAAAAATTGAAATACATCGAGAATCATTTTTCACATCTTGGTACCCTGAAACAAAACAGAACTGAATCATGACATTTCTAGAGATTCCCACCCCTAGTAACCTTTAGATTAAGCCACCACTTTTACTGCTGTCCTTTTCTGTCAGAGGGGTAACTGAACTGCACCACTAGATGGCGACCTTATACAACTAATCAACCTCTAATATGCACATAAATCACTGATCAGTTTTGGTGCTTTTGCAGTTCTTTTGACCTATGCCGTCCAAGTACCTACACTCCCCAGCAAGAAAGGTGCTGTATAGTACCAAAAAAGATTCTTTAACTTGTATCAACAGTAGAATCCTTTTTGGTGCTAATTTGAAACCATTTTAAACAGTTCTTTAAAGAACCATATACAATAGATTCTCCATTACAGAGAACCATTTAACCATGCAAAAATCGCTTAAACATTCAGTTGAGCTTCATTGAGTTGTTATGGTTCTATATAATATAAGAACCCCTTTTTAAATGGTGTAGACATCCTGTAAACAGTGTACTGAAATCAAACAGCTATTAACAAATCTGTCTGTCTAACAGAAAACACGCTATGGGACATACGCCATGCTACTGAGAGCCAAGATCCGCACGGGAGAGTCAGACCTGGCTGCATTTGAGTCTCGTCTGTTTGTGGACGGGGGGCTGCAGAGAGCCCACTCCAGCCCCACGTTGCCCCAGGACAGCAGCCATGCGAGCAGCAGCGGCAGCAGCAGCGGAAAGAAGAGCAAGCGCGGTGAAGGCCAGAGACACAGCTACAAACAAGCTGTCAAACAGTGAGCCCAACACACAGGACGCTTCGTCACCTTTAGGGTAGATCAGGTCCAGACTGAGGGGCTGAGGTCAGCGTCGGGCACAGAGATGAGCAAACGTTAGTGGTTTGCATCATTAGGCTGCACCTTGTCCAGTCAGCTCCTCTTGATGGGGCTTGGCCAGCGCTGGAGGACGTGGTGGCTGCTGGAGGAGTTTAGTATGATCAGTTCTCTTTCTCTCTCTCCTGTCAAACGCAGATTTTCCTGCTCAGTGACTACAGCCCTAAACCTTCAGAGGGCAGATGAGATGCTTCTTTGCATTTGCGTTCCTTTCTTTAGGTCCGCTTCACCCTCTCTCAGTCCGACATATATGCTGTACACATGGCATTGACTGCTTACACCTTTGTGTGCATATTTGTGGCATTTTGTTTAATCAAACAAGATGCCTGTGCAAGCCAAGTACAAGACTGTGAGACAACACATTTCAAATGCTATTAGCGCTGTATTTATTTCCATTAATCCCAGTCTTGGAGCTGGAGATGAGGATCAGTGTTCAGTGCGAAATGTTTTCGCATTTTGGTCAGCTGCATTACATTTGTGCTCCCTTTTATCTTCTGCACACCTGAATGGATTCCTTTTCTTTGATTTCTAGTTTTTCAAAGAAACTTACCATTCCTGTTTTCTTCTTTTGTCTTCTTACTCAAACACATCTTTGGGAGTTGTAGAAAAAATGAACCTGTATAGTCCTTGAAAGCCTTTGAACTCTTGTTTCAGAGCATGCTTGTGATGTAAAGACAATCAATTCCCTCATTGGGTCCTTGCATTACAATTCCCATTATATGTATTGTACATGTTTTGTATGTTGGTTTGTTTTCACCATAAAAACTGTATGGTAAGGTTGGCTTTGAGCTGGCAACAGCTCAGCAGGAGAGTACACCAGCCAACTGAGTGCAGGTAAAAGAACCAGGTGAACTGTATTGCTTTAGTGTTCATGTTCAGTTTGTACATATAATCAGATTTATGCTGAATTTATGAATAAGGATGTATGGAAAAACTCAGATTAGGGGACGTAAGATACGGAAAAAAAAGACCCTCTAATCGTGGCAAAGCCATTCTCTTCTCAGGCATCCATGTTCAAGTACTGCAGCAATGCCACATTTCTGCCAACCGAGGGGGCAATAGAAGCAAATCAGTTTGGAAAAACAACCTACATTACCTCAGCTGCATTTGGAGATGATCTATTTATTTCAGACTGACATGAATAATATCACCAGTTGATGGGTAGATATTTAAATGTGACTGAATTTCTGTGAAGTGTTTCTTAATGGTATGAAGTTGGACAACTTTCATAACCTCATGAATTCCTGATGAAATCAGACACTAAAGCTAAAAATCCAATATATTGTAAAATCCATTAACTAGCACTGCAATGCATAAATGAGTCATTGAGATCTAAACTGACTGTTAGCACTGCCATCTTATGAATGAACGTTTACGGAGTAAATGCATACATGCAGTTCAGGCGTATGTAAATCATCACTTCTGACTTAAAACTATGTAGAGCCTAAATCCCATCACTAGCACTTCAATCATGTGATGCCCTATTGCACTTTGGGTAATGCTTGCGTAGGTTTTATTGAATGAGCTAAGAGTTATTTATATATTTTGGACATTTATAATTCATGTCTCTTGTTGAGTATTTGTTTATGATTAAAATGTATTGACTTAAAAAGAAGTTTTACGTACTGTTTTTACAGGGTTATATATACATTATAATACTGTTACTTTTTTGTTAGCTGTGTTGCTTTTAGTTGTACATACTGTGGATATTATGTTAATTTGTTCTGTAAGAAAAATACTCTATTGTTTGTATGTTTCAAAGGCATAGATATAAAATAAAATGTTAAAATGACAGCTGGTGAATGTCAAGTGTCTGTAAAAGGTGGTCTTAAAGTCTGAGAGACTCCCAAAATACCAAACAAAGGTTCTTTTTTCAAAATATATTTCATCCATTGACAGCAAAAACAGCAAATACTTAGATGTACAATGTATCAAAAATGCTTTAAAGCACAGATCTATTGCACAGGCGAATAGCTGACATCTCATAAATACACAGTATTAGTAATATACTAATTCAAAAGCATTTGCAATCCAAAAACAAACAAAATCTTATTCTGCAATCGACACATTTTCAGACTTGCGCAGATACATCAGCATCTCCCATCAAGACTTTTCCAGAAACTGACAAACATAAACCTGTTTAACTGGTGATTTCCGGCGCATTGCATGTGGAGAAGAAGATGCTGAAAATGAGTACTAATATGTTTCTACTTGCACGTTTCCTCTCACACATTGAGAATGCATTAGAGAGACCAGTAAGAGCACCGTTCCTAACAATGTCCTCATCCGACTTATTGGGTCTCTCACAACATTAAAAAGTCTGTGAGCAAAGACAGGTCGCCGTTTGGGCACTGTGATATCAGCCGAGGAAGACAACTGTCCCTCTGCTGGGACTTCAAAACATCAACCAGAAGCAGTTCAAGGCTTGAAATCATGCTGGTCAGTGGTTGGCTATAGCAGGACTCTCCGCCTCCTGACTACCGAAGCCGCTGTCCACTGTTGTATCTAAGAGAAAAAATAACACGGTCAGTCTTGCAGAAGCTATAATGCTCATATCATGTCAAAAGGTGACTACGGCTGAAAAATATTTTGTCTGTTAATCTTTACGGCAGTACTGACCTTTACAATACCGATAAGGCTGCAACAATTAAATGAGCCCTCACTATGTTTTTACTGCGTGCTTCACTAATCACAGTCCCTTCCTTCACTAATCACTGTTTAATCAATGTCACCATGTGGCAATGATTCAAGAACACATTTTTAATGTATTGCAAGCAATAAACTCATAATTCTAGTATTTTGTCTATGTTGGGCAGCCAATACAGTACCAGTCAAAGGTTTAATTGAAATTGTTTATATAATTTATGAACATATACCTGTTAACACACCCTCTACAGAGAGTAATCTTAAATATGGCAATTTTCTGCACATTTTAATGCACAATTTCTATTTATTTGCTTTGTTAAACATATTGGAAAAAAACAAAATACGAAATTTTGTGATTTTTTTTTCCGCCCTCTCAGGAGCATCTCAGGAACCTGTGAAGCTACCTGTAAGAGTATACCAGGAACAAAGAATCTAAAACTCTTTTTTTGATCTTGGCATAATTCCATAATATGTCATTCCATAAAATTGATGTCATTACTCTCATTCTAAAACATGGAAAACAGTGAAAATAAAGAACGCTTCTATGACTAGGTGCGTCCAAACTGCATACTGTTAGCTTAATACTGTTAGACATGGTGATATTTTATGTGGTACATACGTTCCCATACATGATGTCAAAACCCAAAACAAATGCTATTGTTAATGGTAAAAAAGCTGTATACCTGTGCTCTGTTTGTCCTCTCTGGGTTGGCTGGCTCTGAGAAGTTGGACCCCTTCACTCAACCCAAGAGACTGCAGTGCATCCACCAGCCCCTCCAATGGACCACCGCTGATCTGGAGTCATACACGTACATAGAAAGGTAAGAAACTTTCACACACAACTCACGCTGAAAAAGCAATCAGCAAAAAAGGGTTCCTGAAACGTTTATTCTCTATAATACATAATACATTTACATATATAATGCGTTTAAATACAAGCAGAGAGCAGCCAGAATCTCTCACCTTGTAGTTTTCTAGAAGTTTCTGGCAGGGGGAGGGGCTCCTTTGGTACAAATCTGCCAATGTGAGCATGCCCAGTTTCTCTGCCAGATCTCTCCAGGGCACCTGGCTTTGGGTGAGGATCCCACACAGTTTGCTGACCATCTCATCATCCAGAGACTGGCCCACTGCACACAGAAGTGGACATAAGAGGCATGGATTAAACAGCTGCTCAGTTAAGAATACTATCAATAGAAATAATGTCAAAGATGTACTTTAAGAGGCTGTTGGAAACTTTGCGTACCATCTTCAGTGCTCTTTTTCGTCTTCTTGGTTGAATGGTGACTTGGCTTTGGACTTGTTCTGCCATCCAACAGATCTTTAACCTGTATAGGAGAGCGGATCAGTTTCATTACGATCACACGCGCACTGTACACAGTAGAACTACTATGTACTGCATCCAGTATACAGAGTTTTCAATGAGGTGTCTGACCTTTTGGCAATTAGCCAGGTCGAAGGGGGTGTGTCCAGCTGCTGGTCTCTTGCGTGGGTTAACTCGGCATCTCTCGGACGATATCGTCATTTCTTGTACTTGCTCGACCATATCTTTCTGGATCGGCCCTTGTTCTTCATCGTCTCTCCTTTCACCCAGCTCTTCTTCATCAGAGGAGGATGAGAAGCAGAAGAGGGGCTCATCGTTTTCCAGGCGTTTATCGGCACCTGAGGAGAGAACAGTGATTAGGAATGCCACAGCAATCAAATACTACACAAACTCTAGTGGAAAAAACAGCTTTCGGGATGGGATGATATAAAAACGTCCAACATCAATGACCACAGCTTTTGTATTCTGTATGATCGCTGTAGGGTTAAAATGTACTGTTTAAAAATGCACATTTAAATCATTTTACTAAGCTCTCATATTTTTTTGTAACACCAAAAATCAACTACATTTTAAATAGGATATTTACTTCCACTTTGACTTTTTCAAAGACAGTTATCATTTACTGTAATCAGAATTATTCAACTTTTAAAGGGTATAATTATTACTTGGTTTTGTACTGCAGCACACCATTAAAATCAGTAACCGTCTCATCTGTAAACACTGTGGCTATGAAGTTCTAATAAAGTCATGAAGGGCATGAAAGGAAAGCATCTCCTCTTACCTGCTGCTATGAGCATGGAGCAGAGAGGAGGAGAACCCAGACTGGCGGCCAGGTGGAGTGGACTGTTCCCTCCAAACGTGCAGGCATTAACATCTGCCTTTAGCTGCAAGAGAAAGAGGGTTAGGCAAACAGGCTAAAGCTGCAGCTGCTCCATGCTGAATGATATATGAACTGTCAGTCAAATGTTTGGGGATTTTTATACATGTATATTAAGAACATGTTTAACTGAACTGAACTGAAATTATTTCAGTGACATAGCTGTGAGCTACTGTAGAGTTGCTGTGATCCTCTTACCTCAGTGATGAGAGTGCAGGCCACTTTGAAGAGGTTGTCCTTCACAGCGAGGTGCAGCGCTGTGCAGCCACTCTTCTGCTCGGGCATGTTGATTTTAGCCCCGGCCTCAACCAGAACACGCAAACACCGCTCTCCTCCCTTTCTTACAGCCAGATGCAGAGGATACAGGCCTGACAGAGAGAGAGAAAGAGAGAGATTTTAATGGATTCCTTAATTATAGATTATAACATACAGTGCCTTGTGAAAGTATTTATTTAATTTTTTTGGTACCACTCTACAGTAAGACTACCTTTATATAGAGTGTATGAATGGTTTCAAATTTGTTCATTAATCGTTATTAATTAGGTCATAAACACTTTCAAAATTAATAAGCACTTATAACACATGCAGAAAAAAGGCAACATTTTCATAATTAATGATTATTATGAAGGATTTTTAAGTTGTTTATCACCTACTTAAAAACAATTAATAAACTAGTTTTATACCATTCCTATTCTTTTTGTAAAGTGGTACCATGCTTTTAGTACTAAATGGAACCACTCATTTTCACTTAAGAGGAAACTGATTCCTTGTTAGGGACTGTTTAAATTAAAAACAAAACGAAAAAACAAACAAACAAAAAAAAAGTAACCTCCACCATGCCGTGAATAACTCGGAGGGGAACTACAAATCTGATGGAAAAAAAGGAATTATTGTTCAGCACCTAATTTTCATTTAGGAGCCCTATATAGTGAGTAAGATGTAAGATAGTAGTAAGCTCACCTGAGAAGTCTGCGGTGTTGATTAGATGGGCATGGCGGTCTCCCAGAAGGCCCAGCAGCACTCTCAGTATGCTCTCATCTCCAGTATAAGCAGCCAGGTGCACAGCTGTACGCCCATCTCTGTCCAGCAAGCTTGGGTCTGAGCCCACTTTCAACAGGACTTCCACCAACTTTGGCTGTTTTGTGATCACAGCCAAATGCAGTGGAGTCTGGACAGAACAGTCGAGAGTTGGTATTTGGAAATTATTATGAAGTAAATACAAAAGACTTTTTGGTTTTAAATCTGCCCGTTATCTAATGTGCATTCTGCGGTTAGAGTTGCTGCCTACCTGGCTGAGGTGGTTCAACTTGTTGATGACTTTGCTTTGAGGGGTGTTTATGATAGTCTGAATGAGCTGAAGGGCCACCGCTGGCTGCTGGTGGATAATGGCCAAATGTAAGGGCCTACAAAATAGCATCAACAAAAACAAGGAGATTAATCATGACTTGATCTGACATTCATTCCTGTTTCCTGTGGTGAGGTTAAGAAGCTGATTAAAGATGTCGATTAGAAAAACAGACAGAGTGGCATATAAAAGAAAACAGAATGTGCAGCTAATCATTCAAACTGTTTCATTTTCAGGTAACTTTGAGTGCTTGGCTGACTACAAATTCACTATAGGCTGTAAGAATAATTCAGTTATCAAGAGACTCACGTGTCTCCATTCTCATCCTGCACTCCGCACAACTGTCTCTGCATGGCAAGAAGGAGGCGCACATCCCCTGTACTGCAGTACTCCAGCAGGACCCTGGCGCTGTGCTTGGCTGCTGCAGTGCTTCGGTTTTGCAGGACTGTGGCTGAACACACAGGAGCATGCACTGTATGTTAGCAAGTGCAACTGGATTATGCACTGTGGAGCTTTCTCACCACTACAGTCAAAGGACTTCTCTGGGCCCAAACCCAGTTGTCATTCCTTACCAATCTGAAAAAGTCGCTGCTGCTCGGGTGAGCCAGCAAGTGTCTGTGTGTTAGCGGGCTGCTCCTGAGCTTTTGCTGTTTGTGGAGAAGATCCTGACATCTGTGCCCCTCCTCCGAAGCCTCCACAGCCTCCAGCGTAGAAACCTGCCCCATCTAACGGATGATTAAACTGGTAACCTGCAGGAAAACCAACTAGTTCAGTCTAATGAACTTTCGAACAGTATAATCAAACAAAGCTACATGGTGATTTAGTGGAATCAATGTCATTAATAATATAGAATCAATTGGGTGCAAGTAAATGTGTAATGTAACTTTAAATTTTAAAATACAACAGCTTTTATTAGTAGGAAGCTAGAGGTCAAAATTTCTGTAATTAGATGTTTAATCTATATTATATAAATTACAGTAAATAAAATATAAAAAAAATATTAATGTGGTAACTGATTACCAACCACAGTGTATATTGAGCATAATCACAGTTATAAACATATATAATTTAAGCTGTTTATGTATAGAAATTAAGCATTGAAAAATCCAAATGAGGTCCCTTACCTCCTCCCATTCCTCCTCCACCTGCTCCTGCTCCAGGACCTCCAAAGCCCCCTGTACCTCTCCCCAAACCCCCCGCTCCTCCCTGCGGACCGCGCCAGTGGTCATATGGATGGGGAAGGGATTTCATTCTTTTCCTCTGAACTTCCTCTTTATCTGAAGAGAAAACCAGCATCACGATCAACTCAACATGCTCCATATGGAGAGTTAAATGAAAAGAGAAACAGAAAAGGGAAAAGAAACTGTTAAGTAGATCAAATGATTTAAGAATGCTACGTAATGGTACGCCTTACTGTCACAAACCAAAAAAGTGTTGAAAGTGTTAGATGGAACAGTCACTAGTAACTTCTGCTGTTCTCTGGAGCACTGTGACTGACCTTGAACCTGTGGGATGTAGGTAAACTGTTTGGGTTCGCTGCAGTCGCCACCCTTCTTCCTCTTGAGCTGCAGAAACACTGTGACAGGACGCTCAATCTCCGTTTTGTGGTATGGAGGCGTTTTAAAAACAATGGCATACTGGAAGAGGGCGGAGACAGATATTGTGTCAGTTCTCAGGTTCATGTACTAGACTAGATAATCCTCTGTACTTTCCAACATGATGTTAAAAAAATACCGAAAAGTACATCTTAGTCACAACTGGGTCTGGCTTTTTAGTACTAATTAAAAAGTCCATTAAAAGTTCATACTTAGAAATACACATACAACAAACTCAGTTCTATAAATAGCTGTGTTAATTGAAACTCACCTGTTTATGAACATCAGTGGGAGAGAAATCCCCAAACGCTTCCCAGCCTCCTTCATCATCCTCCTCATAGAAACGAATATCAATATCATCTGGAAACAGAAAGGCATTTGTTTGATTTGGCTCAAACCCCATCAAAGCCTCTTACGGCGAGAATTTCCTTTTAACCTTTTGTTCACAACCATGATATAATAAAAGGCCTTAATTTCAAGAAGAGTGCCACAGAAGTTGATTTTTGTACTTTCTGAAACCCCATCGTAAGTGAATGAAAGGATACTGTTATTTCATTTTTTGTACATTTTTGTACTTCTCCCATTGTTTTTGTAATTTTTGAACATACAGTCGATACCCCCTTTTAGTTGCCCTTCATGCTAATTGTGTCTTTATAGTTTTACCTTTTTGAACTTTGTCACATAGCAAGAAGATCTCGTCTCCTCCCATCACTGTGCCGCAGGTTTTGTCCATGCGTGAGATCTTCAGATTGGACGCGTTGGGAGATTCTGGAAGAAGTGAAGTGTTTCAGTATTACTTCCCAAAACATTGGGCAGTGTCCTGCAGTGTAATCAGTTTCTAGGACAGTCTATGACTAAGCCAGAGAAAAGAGAAACATACTGCTGTCATAGATTGGGTTGGAGACGACTGGTTTCAAAGCTCTGGTGAATCCTCCATTGCTGTCCTGAAGGTAAGCGGTGAACTTTAGCCTCACAATATTAAGGTCCATGTTTTTGCCCAAGTCTTTCGCTTCTCGCAGAATAAGCTGCTCCTCTGCATCTGCATGATTTAAGATCCAGGTAAGTTTCAGTAAATGTGAATTTGTCTTTGGTCAGAAATGACTTGGTAAGACAGATGCTTTAACCATGGGAAAACGTGTTTATTTCACATACAGTAAAGCAAAAAAATGAGTATTTATTACTACATCCACTCAAGTATACACACACCAACAAGCAGTAATATTCTTTTAATAGTAGCTAAAAAACACTACATTACATAATAAGGAAACTGAGACAGCTAGTATGAGAGGGAGATAAATCATTTGAATTTCAAATGATTTCCTCCAATTTTGGCTTCTAAACCCAAATAGTCCACTATTTATCCAGTATGGGATTGTGCACACATGGCTGAATTCCAAATGGGGAATCTCTTAGACATATTATGCACTGTTTGGGTGCACTAAGTAGGAAGTAGGGAGCCATCTGAGTTTCAGCCAACGAGTTTAAAAGAGGAAGAGACACAGCTAAGTGATCATGCTTGACCGTGAGCAGAACCTGCACGTACAAGAACCCGCATCTCACCAGAAAAATGATATCCAGACTCTTTCATCCTCCTTTTCTCGTCACGCAATCTTTTTGTCAATACATCAACAACTCCTCTTTTAGTCACATGAAGGATCCCCAAATTGCTGAACCTGCAATTACACAAAAATATGAAAATCAAGATTGAACACGAACTGAGGACATTTTTAATGCTTTATTTATACAAACTATTTGATCACCTCACAAACCTTCACATTACAAATTTCCTCAGTTAACTACATATTATTTGTAAATAAACACTGAAAAAGGAAAAAAAATTGGCTATTCTAAGTTACTCTAATTTAACTAAGGGTAAAAAAGCTATAAAATCCTCCCATATTTTGTTGTATGCTTCCCCCTTACACTATGCAGAAATTTCTCTGGAGTTCTATAAGGCACAAGCTCATTTGACCATATATATTTGAAGGTAAATACTAAGATTTCCAATTCACTAATGTACACTTCGTGGCGGCTGTTCCGGCTGGCAATATAAATTACTTTATGAAATGGGTGAAAGAACTACTTTGAACCGAACAAAATTTTACACTAGAAATGTCTCCGTATCATTCTTTCTGTGTAGTGTAATGTATGATTAGTTTTGACTCAGGACTTTTCTGTGTAAGTGTTGACTCACTGTGCTGTGAGGTCGTTGGGGCCGACATCAATACTGCACGTTCCATTCTCATTGCACTGCTTTCCCACAAGGCTGTGTGCGTGTACACGAGGGGGGTCAGTGTGCGTTACGAGCTGCACCTCCACACGAGCATGACCCACATAGTTACACACCTGAAGATGGAGACAAGTCACCTCAGCATTTCTTCACAACACACTGTTAATTGTCTTTATTGAAAGTAGGCTGCTGGCTGGCTGATAGAGTTTACTATAAGAGAGCATGGTAAAGGTAAATTTTATTAAGGATACCATCTTAAAGCTATTACTGACTCATGGTTATTACTGACGCCTTATAAAAAATGATTTTTTTTCCAAAAAAAAAGGCCTGGAAGCTCAAGTGAGATCCGACAGGGTCTTTAAGAACAAGTATTCTCCTTCAATTAACAATACTGTACCTTGCCAGTCACAGCTCTAACTCAAAGTAAGCTTTTAGCCAAATAATATTTCAGTCTGGCAGCTCATGCCAAAGCACTACTGTTTCTGATGCTAGTGAGTGCTGTGCAAACAGACCTTAACAGTGGGATATGTCCTCCTGTTCCTTTCACTGGAGGCTCCTGGTAGACCACCATGAGAAGGTCCTTCACACTCATAACGAAAACGAAAGCCTCTCTGCCAACACAGAACATGTATGTACATGTAGTTAGCAATACAGTTACGCCCACATTCTATGATTAACCACTTAAATTATATTTAAATTATATTTACTATTCAGTCATTAATCTTAAGACTTATTCAGTAACCACCATGAAATTAATATCTAGCCGCATGTAGCTGTGAACAACGAAAATATAGACCTGGGGGTCCTCACAGTTTAAGGGGTTAAAGGTGATGCCCAGGACTCATACTAAGAAAGCACTGGAATTTCCCCCATCATATGCCTTTATGGATCCTTGTCTTATATCACAAGACAAATACTGTAAGACTGTTGATCAGTCACATGGTTTACTGCAAGAGCTTAGTCACACAGGTCTCAGATTAGTTATTCATGTTTGGCCAATAGAAACGATACAGTTTAAATACCTACATATACAAAAATAGAGTGATAATTTAAGGTTTTATCAGCAAAGCAATGACAACAGACGTGGTAAAGACTTTGATCCAGATAAATTTGGCCATTTCAGTCCCAGCAGACCTGACCGTGGGGGGGGGGGGATTTTTTACATTAAAGGGGAATTCCATCTTTTTTCCAAAAATTCTGTATCATTAAATGGTTAAGATGTAACAAAGTTATTTGATGTAAAATGCTCCATTCTAGAAAGAACTGCTGGTAGAAACCAAAGGTTGAATGCCTCTAAAAGCTAACTCACAGAAAAATGTATGACACTGTCTGATGTCCGAGACAGTTTTATAATAGTTCTACGACAAAGTTTTGGCCTAAAACACATTTTGTAAAAGTTATTCATGGTGAAGAGGTACATGTACTATTGTATGTAATACGGTAAAGAAAAGTACTCAAAAAAACTTATTTTTTTAGATTTACTTTTATTTCACCATTCTCAAAATTACATCTAAAAACTCAGAAGACCTGTGTGGGTCATTCTGGATAGTAAATAAGATGTCTGTATTTTAACTGTAGACACTGAGACCCCTGAGACCACTGAACAGAAACGCTAGAGTGGTTTCTCTACAACCACTTCACATCAAACCACTCTGAATGTTGACATCATTGAATTGAATGATTACATCATTACTCATTGAAATATGCATATATTTTTAAAGATTCTCCTCTAAGAAAACCAATCTATCCATACTTACTTGTTTAGGCTCCTCGATTATTTGTAAGTAAGGTCCATGAACTGAAATCAAGAGAAAGTGTGTCATCACTGACAGTCCACGCCATCACATCGACTCAATGCACTGACGATAACGCAATTACGGCATGGCATAATGTTCACAAACTCACACAAAAGACACAAATGAGGTTAAATTCACCTGTTTCTGGAACATAGGGCTCACTCTTAATATCAAAGGATGGCATTAACTGTTGATAGGAGATGTCCATCATAAACTGTAAGAGATTAGTTGAATTTAGATCAAGACTTGACTTTTTTCTTCAACATGAACACGGACTAACTGTAATATAGCTCACTCTTCATAAACTGTAGACCAATGTTACTTAGACTAAAGCAAACTGAGAGCCATGAAGCATAAAAGCTTGACCATTAAAAATCTCTGAGTTGCACCAGCTTAAACAACAAACAAAATCTTCTCAACTCGTGCGAGCTGCCATGAGGCTTTTGGTCCAACTTCCTTTCACCGCACACGATAAACAACCGTCAGTACATGGGCTCTTGTTTATGTGATGCAAAGATCAGTCTATGCAACAAACATGCAGTCCATGTCTGACCAGCTAGAAAGGTCATATTTGAAATCCAGTTTGTCACATTCTGAGTAACATTCTGGCATAGATGCTTCAGAAGACGTCACAGGAAGTCATCTTAGCTAAACGCAAAGGCAGCTTCTAAATAAAATGTCTTACCTCATTGTCAAACATCTTCATGGGGTACTGCGTCTCGTCCATGCTGCAGTGTGAGAGAAGAAGATTTGACGGTTAAACAGATACTAGACTGAAAGTCTGAAAACCCCTAGAGATCATGAGGCCGATACAGTCATCGCAGTGAATCAGAAAACACTGAGTGAGCTCTAGCAACACTTAGACCAGCGTAAAATTCCTGCTGCCTTTCCCCATCTTACTATTCTAAACTATGACACAAAAAGAGCCTCACAGTGTACCTGACAAACAAAATGGAGAGAAGTTTTCGGGTTCACAAAGGACTTGAACGAGATTAGTTTCACTTTCAAAAGGCAGAACAAGGATATGCGGTTGTGGTGGTGAGGTTCTTTTTCTTTCTCTCTGTCTCTCTCTCCCTCTCCCTGGCTCTCGCTCGCTTGCGTTACTTCCAGGAAGTAGGGCAGTGAACAAACAGCGAGGAAAGCCCCAAGAATACCAGCTCTCTGCTGCCTCTGATGTCAGAAGCAGTGACCTACACAAACAGAGAGCCATAACACTAAGCTCAACCCAACTTGCCAGACCCTGCGTTTTACATTCCCGCAACATCCGCGGCTTTTATTTCCCTAAAAATCCTGAAGGGATTTTTGGCTACAGTTCATGCGAAGCCTACAGTAAACCTATAGCAGAAATCATGACTTGTACTTCAACAGGAAGCATTGAAAAAAAACTTCACTCAGGTGGAATTTATTCAAATGAATCGCTCTCTGAATGAAAGACAGTGTCTGTCGCTGTATTAGTCAACGTACGACTCAGATCTGTCAATACGCAACTTCATGTAGAGTACAGAATACACAAGAAAAGGAGAGGGGATTGTCCCCCAAATTTTGGCGGCTTACTTACTTACTTACTCAACCCCAAACCCCCGAATCATTTTTTTTGTTTATAACACACACCATGACTCAAAAGTTTCTTGTAAACTTTCTTGTTATTTATTTGAAATATCACTATTCGGATTTTCTCAAGGTTTCCCTAAACACAGTGTTGCAGTAGCTATAGCCTTATGTCCTTAAGTCCTTTGGGGTTGAGTACACTGAGTACACCGAGTACACAGCACTGTGCTGATGATACGCCACAGGAAGGTGGGATTGCACAAGGTTCTTTCTCAGCTGCCGCTGACAAGAATGGGGAAGTCTCTTAGCATTCAGGATGAGTTCACCGCTAACTAATGCTGTCCCACCTCCAGACACTACAGGTGATCTACCCTATGAATGTCTATGCATCGCTGATTAAGATTACATTCTTATTTTTGTATACATTAATTCATTTTTATATATGTATGACTTTTTATTCTGTGCACGTACACAGACAGCTGAAAGAAATACCCACCTAAACCAACAAATCATCATCACCTTGCCTGTATATCTGATAAAAGTAGGCCAACACTTGATTTGAGAATGAGTGTTTTTTTTATCTAGATCACCATCACATCCTGTTCCACTTCTTTGAAGTTACACTTTCTCGACCCGAATTATGCACTCGAATTATTACAACGCTAAACCAAAGAAGAGCATGAACCTCCTTTTTAAACGGATGTCAGGGCATGAATGCAGATTCATATATTCACAAACACAGCCCTCTAGGCTGTCAATTATAATGAGTTTTAAGTGAATAATGACAAGAAATTCATATCCAGGTCAGCTTTCTGTAACAACTAACATAGTCTGCTGCAGGTCTGAAAGATGCGAGCAGCAAAAACAACAGTACTTTCTTCTCAAAGATATCTGTGATCATTACACAATCCATGCATCACTCTTAAAAACTTCAAGAGCTGGTTCTTTAAGAGTTCCTTGGTAAAAGCATTGGTTATAATATAACCATGACAACTTTAAGAACCATTTGAATGGGAAATAGTTAAATGGTCCTCCTCTATAATGAAAAACCTGTAGTATATATTTCTTTTAAAATCCTTCACAATAGTTCTTTAATAGCACCTAAAAAGATTTTACTATGGTTTCAAGTCATAGAACCCCTTATTTTGGTACTCTATAGAACATTTTCTGTTTACAGTGATAGTTTCTGAAAAGTTTATGCCAGATGTAATGAGCACAACGGCTTACCTCAAAGCTCCGGCCATCCTGCAAGCCGCACGGTCATCCGAAATGAGCCTGTGCACTCCAAGCTGGCTGAAATAAAAGGAAACGTTAAGAAGCCACTCATGCTTCTTCCTGTGGATGTGATTCCCCCTCAGCCCCACAAGTAAGAGCAAAACACACAGTGCGTTAACTCCAAGAAGTGCAGCAGATTTTCTACGGGAAATTCCAGTCTTCACCTACCGACAGCTCCCCACGGGCTGCCTGAAAACATCACACTACTCTGTGTTTGCAAGCAAGAGCCAGACACCTAAAATTGCTACTTTAAAACATTTCCACATCAGTTCTGTGATATCAAGGTGTGTTCTGTAAATGCAGATCAACAGCATCTAACCTGACCTGGGTAGGAGCTAGTGACATTTTTCAGTGGTACTTTTTATGGTTTTTATGAATCTAAACTTCAAATTCCAGTCATTCACATTTTAATTCTTTGTGTTTTATAGCATCCTGGTTTGTTGGCTTTGATGCTGCTCACGTCTCTTAATTTGGAGCGTTAGCCCTTTATTTTAGACCAAAAGGCCCCCAGAAAAGGAAATTACGCTGCACTTTTATAGGGAGTTCAGTACCTGAGACGTTTCTGGACCAGATACTTTTTCATTTCTACTCAAGATGTTTTGGCAGGTTCTACTTTTTCACTTGATTCAGTTTCACTGAAGTAGCAACAACTCCACTTAAAAAAAGGTTCTACCTAACTTACCTCTCCCTGGCACTTACTGACAGGCACGCAATGCCAAATTTGACCTGGATTCGTCACTGAAAATATGCCTAATAAGTAAGACACAGTGAACTCCAAACTGGTCCTGTTACAGTAAGACCCCTCTAAATAATGTTGCACTTCAGAAGAGAGCTAACTAACTTACTTTAGGCTAATACTAAACCGACCACACACAGGCTACATGGTTGACAGTTAAACTGTCGTGACAAACCTCGTCTCTATGTAGTAAAGCTGCTGCTCTTACCTGTGAGAGAGTTACAGGCTGAGAACTGAGTCACCGAGCGCCAGCCACCCTGACAGAAGGCGAGCAAAAAGGTTCAAAAATGAATGATAGACACAATGGATAAAAAACATAGACTATAATAGGTGAATTTCTTCGTTCATTCTGGCTGTTCCTACGTGTGCCTTAGATGCAGCCATAGGCGCTGGAAAGCCCCGCACTCTGGGGGAATTCCGCAGTCACGTGGCTCAGAGCCCGCTTCTGATTGGCTGGAGAGGCGGCTGGAACTTCATTAGCTTCTGAGTCTAAACATGCGTCAGTGCAGTGCTGAGAGTTCAGAGCTGCAGATATTTCAGAAAAAGTTGCTTGAGTTTTTCTGAAGTTAAGTTGCCTCAGTTCTTTACTATTGTGCTGAAGTTTCACTCATCCTGAGTGAGGTCTCATTTGAATGGCTTAAGTTAAAAAGTGTTGTGTATTCTTAGGCATGAGGTACTTCTACCCTTGGTTTTATTGCCATCTCTTTCTCAGCATTCAGCTGATTCAGCAACTGATCAACTTTTATGGGTTAAACTAGCTGTGTTAGAGCAATTACTGAGCTATTTTCAAGTTGCGTTTCAGACATAACAACACCAATCTAAGATCTGTTCTCATCAGATGTGTTATTTTATCTAGTGTTATGGCATAACAGACATAAACTGAACCCAGATCAGCACTATTACTCTGAGAAGTTTGGTAAACATGAATCCAGGATTTAGAAATGCTGTTGTAAGATGACGTTTAAAGCTTGTTACTTCATCCTTTTTAGGCTCATATCACTGTAAGAGCATTAGAGGTGAGTGCAAGAGCCTAAAAGCAGTCTCAAATAAAAGTGGTGCTACTTCAGTGAAATGGTGGTTTTATAATGTGGGTTCTATCAGGTCTAAAAACTCCACAAGCACTCCCTACAGAACTGCAATGGAATGTAATAGTACAACCAGCACCTATCAGCAGAGGAACTGAAGTTTCCCATATAGAAATCTGATACATGCCATATATTATCATCAAAATCTTGAATCTCCAAAATGATAACTTTACAGGAGAAGGAAAAAACCTACTTTACTTTTAATGTAAGTCAATGGAACCAGACTTTTTCCAAGTCATTTTAAGTAATTTCTTTTAGTCCATTCATCATGAAATTGACATAATGTAAAGGGTAACAGGTATTTTCAAATTATGTCAAAAACTGAAAAATGTCAAAAATGGAGACGCAAGGTTTTCTTCTGACAACAGCAATATGCAAACATATGTCTGTAACATATACTTAACAATATAATAGAAATTCATATATGGAAGGCGTATATTAGTCATATATGCAAACTTCATGTTATTTAAGGTTTTTATGCATTTTCTTTGTTTCTTCCACAAACGTCCCAATGAAATGAATATTAGTGTAATAGCTATGTAACTAAACTCTAAATACATGCACATTATAAGGTATGCGGTAAAAGCATTAAAATCATTAACATAATTACACAAAAAACAATTAAATTATTTGAAATGTAATAAATTATAATTTAATATTCAAAAGTAAACAGAAAACAAAGTGACAATTAAAACTCTACTGGTATGTATTCGACCATGTATCAGACATAGATGTATGATCCATATATTATGCACACATATCTAATTTTTGATACATGTATGTACATATATTCTGAAATATATGCCTGATCCTTCATGACACATGACACTATTCTCATACAAATATTTTTGAGCTGATGGAGCCACACGAGTGAGCGATAAAACATTTTTTAGATTTTACTACTAGTCTGGTTGCCTTGACTTACTGCTACTAGACACATGCATGAGAGCAGTTTATGTCACATTAGCAGAAGCTGCAGGAACATCCATGACCTCACTCTCGTTAATTTGCCTAAAGTTTGCTGAAAGGAATTTGACTTAATTTTTAGTGAATCTTACAGAAACCCCATGGTAGTAATCATGACTTCAATTTAAGCACGAAACATCAACCAAAAACTCCACTGAGGTGGAATCAGATATATATTGCATCGACTGTGAAACAGAAGCTATTGCAGGATCGTCAGATCTATGCAGAACTGAGCTGCAAAAAGTCTGTTTTTAAATCGTAGTTGTTTTTGCATGAAAACCAACAAATTTGCACATCCTTCTATTTGCAGATAAACCTGCTTTGTTGTTTAATGTGCTTGTTACAGTGATTCACAAGCAAACAGTGGTGTTTCAGTCCTGCAGTTTTGTGTTAATGTAAGTGTTTCCCACTGCCCAGTGCTTTTTAGTGTTTTCCATGCTCCCAGCACCCCTGATCCAACTAATCAGCTCATTAACAGCCCATTATTGAGTAAAAGTGGCTGTGGTAAAGCAGAAAAAGTACTAAAATGTGCAGGGCAGTGGGCCTTCAGGACCAGGGTTGATTTAGCGTACAGCAGTTTAGCCCCGCCCAGTCACACTGAAGTTATAAGAAGGGTTTCAGCCCAGCTTGCATTTTGAATGAGGCAGCCGATACAGGGCAGCCAATCAGAACAGAGGTTATTTACATTTTTCGCTCTAAACAGTTATAAAAACAGCCTGTTTGATTCTAAAGGATAATGAGAGGTTGGAAAATGGGCAACTATAATTGAATTATGACTGTTTTGATGCATACCCCACACTAATATCAGGGAAAAAAAACTGTCAGTATAAGTCCTTTAAAAGAAATCTATCCATTGTCTGTTTTGTTGTTTTTGTAATGTTTTTGCAGCTGCCATACTGGTGGTGCATCTAAATTTAGGGCTTAGTTATAGGATGTTAAACTTATTTTCCTAAATGGATATTTGCAGAAAGGTTAAATTCAATGATTAAGTTTTGTTTTGGGCTGTATCACATTATCAAATCATTTTTATCTCTTCCATTTACATGCATCTAAATGTTGCTACTTAATACTGATGGCGTCAGACTTTGAACACAGAGCACAAAAACATATATAATATGAACTCAGAGTCTTCACTCTGAAACAGACATAACTGTAACAATCCAGGGTGGAGAGTTAAGGTTTGCAGAATCACGCAGTGTGAAAAAGTTCCACATTATGTCACATTAACACAAAGCTGCAGCGCTCAGACCTCACTGTTATCTTTTTAAAGCAAAAGTCGCGCAGTAACTTAAAGTGACTTGCACTTTAACAGGAAGCACTGAGGTGGAAACTACATAGGTTTCTTTCTGAATGAAAGACAACTATTGTTTTGAATGTCAATCTACAATTTAGTGTACAGAATACCAAAGTTAAGTCTGTGTCTATCGAATATTCAAACTGCAAAAGCATACCAGGGCAGTTATGTCACATTAGCACACAGCCGCAGAACTGAAACAACACTGTTTGCTTGTGAATCGTCGTAACGAGCACATTAAACAACAAAGCAGGTTTATCTTGTCAAATTAAATATATAAAAACATATATACAGGGTCAATATATACAATTTAAGGGCACATGAAATGATACTGATTGCAGGTCTGTGTTGTGTTTTAAGAAACTGAACAGTCAGAAAATGAACTTCTGTTTCTGATGCAAGTCACAGCTTTGATGGCACAATGTCGTCATGCTTCCTGTGAATTAAAATCCAACAGCAAGAAGTTCTGAGCGATTGGAATGCTGTTTTCATCACAGTCAAAATGACTGCGGACAGTCAGATGATACGTGGTCCGTGGAGTGGACAGCATGGAGTGGATCCTCTTAGATACAACATGGACAAACCTCTCCTCTGATGCAGGAGCTGTGGGATGACAGAAGCAGGGACAGAAAACTTTAACCTTAAGTCGGTTTAAATGTATTCAAGTAATTACATAATCATTACATAGCTACAATTTGAACTACATTTATATATTTATACACAAATTACACACAATTATGATTTGTTTTACACACAATTATGATTTGATTTAAACTCTGTACTGACAGGTTAATTAAGTTCAAATGCTAATAAAACATCTCCTCTTAAAAACATAAATCAGTTGACAGTTTAAAAACTGCACTTTCAACTTTCTCCACTTGTTTGACTGAGTAAGAAATTATAAGTATTGAACTACAACATGCTTTTGTTATCGCTGGCTATTTCTAATGGTTAAACAACATTAAATACAGTGTGAAGATATGGAAGAGATGCTGGAAGATGAGTAAAAGGGAGAAGAGGAGATCTTTGATGCCTCACCTACAGGTTTGTTCAGCTTGTCTGGTGGGGTGTTGATCAGGATCTTCTGCACGAGAGTGGGTGGAACCTGCACACACATCCGACACTCTCCTTCCCGCACAGTCAGAACAGCTGGCCTGCAAATACAAACAGCTGTTTCTTATTTAAATGGTAGAAGGACTGTAGAGAGAGTGGAAGCAGAAATATGTCAGTGTAAAGTATGAGTGAAATCAAGAAATTAAATGAGAGGAAATAAATACGTCTCCGTGCTTTTGCATGTAGCACTGCACAATCCTTCCCATTTAAGCAAGGCCAGGATAAGAATTTTATCCATTTTACAGTAAAGTGACCTACATCAAAAAGTGACAAACTAACACTGTATGATCTGAATTAAATCCAAATTAGGATTTAATCAAATTGTGAATGGCGAGATTTACACCCATAATAGACAGACAGACAGACAGTCAGGGAGACAGAAAAAGACTGATGGAGACAGACATTTAGAGTAAGCATGAGTGACTTTCAAGTTGATACCGGTAATAGCGGCGTACTCCAGTGTGAGGCAGGCAGGGGTAGCAGGGTCTATAGATTCCATTCTCGTCTGTGTCCAGTTCAGCACAGCACAAGCCACAGCCAGGGAAAGTGATGTCACCACATACAACCTCCAGGATCCTCTCTAGAGGCGTTTCTCTGTTCATGGGCTGCATTGCTTCCTGGGACGGGCTGCTCTGGAACTGGAACGCTGTGATTTGAACTCTCAGCTCTACTTCACCTAATGAGTACAGAGAGCAAAGTGATTGGCTGAGTGTCAGTCAAGAAAGTCCCAGAGAACCGTTTTTGATATTTATCTGTGTGGACTGACTCCTCCGCACCTGTGTACTTCTGGGACAGGAGTGTGTGCAGGTCAATCTCAAAGCTATTGCTGCCTCTGTGTGAGCAGGCTGTGTCGTAGAACTCTCTGCATCGCGTGTCATCTGGGAAGAGAGGCTGACAGGAGCTCCATGGAGTGGAGTGAAGCTCCAGCAGACCTGAGGTCACATCCTGCTTCACCAGCAGCAGACGGAACTCCCAAACAGCATCTAAATTAAATGTGTTTCCATTTGAATTGCTTAACTACGACAAAGCACATTTTTAAAGAAAATATTTCTTTGGAAAATATACAAAAATGTTAGGTAAAACAAATTAAATGAGCTCAAATTCATGACATTACAGCTGCTCAGCCAAAAGTCCAAAATTTCCTTTGCCTGATAAATAGTGGATCAGCCGAGACATGTTTGGTGTTCTAATTTTGCTTATTTAGTTTTGCACTGGAGGCTAATGTAGGTAATAAGTGAAGGAAGCTAATAGCCTCAAACTAGATTGAATTATGAAGCACTCTCAAAAAGACTTGATTATATGGTTTCTGACACTGTATGACATACTGTTACCTATAAAATCTATAGTATTGTATTAAAGTCAAAAGCCAACTTCATTTATTTTTTTTGTGAGACTCCGTGCAAAATCCGGTAGACCACCAAAACTGTCACAATCAGTCTGTCACTTTTATCTTTGCGAGAGAGGAGAAAATCAAGTTCCACTCTTGCTTTAAATCTGAAAAAAATCTACCTTCCACTGTGAGAAGACAACTCAACACTGAGTCTGAACATATGCGTAGATGTCAAGAAGTCTTTACTGAGAAAAGGAAACAGACCAAAAAGTAGAAATTTGTAAATCAAACAAAGAAGCTGCTGGTGGTCTCAGAACAATGGACTGACCACCCCAAAGTCCAGACCTCAGCATCACTGAATGTGTTCGGGATTACTTGAATCGTAAGAAGCAGAAAATGCAACTTCTAAGACTGAACTTTGGAGGTGTGGAAAAACATCACTGCAGATTTCTCAGAAAAACTAAAGCAGGTCTCCTGAAAAGAATGGAAGCTGTAATAAATGCAAAGGTTGGCCACGCTAAATACTGAAAAATCTGGTATTATATTTAGTTGTTGAGACTTTTCTGTTAAATATATGTTTCCTGCTTTCTTCCTGATGCTGAAAAATGAATAACTTGTATTTAATGGCTGTTATGACTGGCAATTAAATAACTGAAATGGTCATTTCTGGCTTTTAACCAGTACTGTATGTTATCTATGAAATTAAAAAAAAGTTGTATTGCATGGTAGCCATCTTGAAGCCTGAAGTATGTCTGTACTTTTGTCCATATATGGACACTAAACATGACTTGGCTGAGTCACTTTGTTTGGTGTTAAGTGAAAGTTGTGTAAATTTGATTTTGGCTGAATCATCATTTTTGCTGTCTGTTACAAACAAAAGCCATTTCTACAATAAAATCCAGTAGAATCCAATGACGCATTCCTCACCCCTGTTCTTGTGTAAGCGCTGTAGCCAGGCCAGGGCAGATCCCCAAAGAACCACAGCACCTTGTTTGCCATCTCCCTGCTCCACATTCAACACAGCCTTCAGCACACTGCCTGTCCGGGCTACACCCTCTGCTTCATCATGCCAGGCTAGAGCAACAAACACACACACAGTTACACAACCTTAGATCAAAACTGTACTTTGGTTTAAAGCACTGACGACTTCTGCCAGTAACTGGTGTGAGCACACAATTAATGTGAAAGATGTTTACAAGTTGGACTTTATTGTGAAGTTAATGCCGTCATATACAGTATCTGCCAAGAATACAGTAGTCTATGAAATACAATACATAATACATTACACAAAAATTCAATATGTTTTTTGTGATCAATTTTTATTGAGATTTGTTTATATGTGAAAATAACAGACCAGTAATTGGTTACTATCTGGGGCATAAAGGGGTAAAAGTAGGGGGTAGCCTCAAAAAAAACACAAAACAAAAAACACAGATATAAATATATGCAATCTGAATGAAGCCTTCTTTAGCACAGTGATGGTTGTACAAATAGAATGTCTATACATAATTTCCAATGGCAGACAACATTTCAGTCCAAGTGCCATTTTGTATTGTCTTTGATTGGGCCTTTTTAACCTTGCAGTCATACCTTCAAGGGTAAAAAATATGTCACATGCAAAAATAATAATGTAATAATATTATAATCAGAATATTAAAATCAGGAGTAAACCAAAATCAAACTGTCTGCTTTTTTGCTGCAGTAAAGCCAGAGAATAACATTCTGCATTGATAAAGTGTAAAATTTTCTATCTTTAAGTAAACAAAAAGCAGAATGTGGAATATAATTAAGATTTAGAACTTTCCTTAGAGTGGTGTTAACAAGTTACCTAAAGTCTGTAATAGGCTCACATTCCCAGAACATAGGTTTTTCTAAGCAATGTCCAATTGCTCTTCTATAGAAATCTATACAACATACTGAAATACCGGACACTATGGCACAGTGATCTCATACTGTCAGATCCTGGCCATTAAGAGACTGTGTATCTGTATGAGAGAATTACCTGAAGTCGTTCTGGCATGTTTGACTCTCAGCAGCGCATGAACGAGTGTATCAGGCCGTAGAGAGCCGAGCCGGATGAAGGGGATGGAGTGCATGTTCTGAACAGTGCGAGGAGGCAGAGACACCAGTAGAGGGCGCTTCTCATACAGATGAGTACACAATGCTCTCAGAGTATGAATATTTACATTGTGCGGGGCTGGAGATCGTTATGGAAACAAGCATTAAAGGACTGAACAAACATTTCTGACATATTTAAGAGAAATTAACATCACAGATATTTTATTTAGTGGAATGACGATGAAGTAAGAGAAGGAATCAAGGGTAAACATATGTAAAATCATAGACTTTTGCACTTTTACTGGGAAAATGGTGATCTGCTCATAATGTTAACTATAGTTTCATTATTAGGTGAAAATATTTTGAATATAAAACACTTCCTTTGTGTGGCACAAGCAACACAGAATGTTTCATAGATTTTCATTTCAGCGCTTGCATTAGAAGGTTTGAGATTTCACACAGACAGTCCACACAAACTAACAGAGCCTCCCAGACCCGCATTGACACAGAGCTCAGAACTACCACCCAGTCACAAGTTGGAATTTTGTCTGTTTTACAAATTACATATTTATGGAGCAAAGTGGCAGAGTTAACTACTTTTCTGTTTGGTTAAAGTATATCTGTAAATCTTTCTAGCTAATTCCCTCAGGAGCGCTACCAATTAATGTGCAGAGCAAAACAGAACGGAACTCACATGTAAGCACACACGCAGAAAACAGCACACCACGGTTTTTCTCAAGCTTTGTGTTAGAACTGGAGGGGCATTGCCCCCCCTTCTTTAGTTATAAGGGGGAATGACCCAATACCTTCTGTAGTTGGCGCCTATGCTCACAGTAAAGGATAATGGATAAGGGATAAGGGATAATATCCATTTAAAAAGTGCAGTATCAATAAATAATTAGCCGTGTTACTTTATATTACCTTGTGGAGTATGGTCTTGAGTGATCTGGCCCAGGTTTAGTAGCTGGCTGATATAAGAAGACTGTAGTACTGTTTCTCCTCGCCATTTGTCCTCATGTATCATCAGACCTGAAAAAAGTAATACACAACGCTAACAGGGATTGTATAACACAGGAACGTAACAGTAACAGCAGTAACAAAAGTTACTGTTACAACAGTAACAGTAACAACGTAATGTAACTGCAGTTTTAGCATGCAAGGGCTCATATCCTACATTTTTCTTATATTTTCCCTGAGGTACAATGTGATTTTTTTTGTACTAAAATCAGTCATTATTTATTTTCACACGGCCAGTTTCCAACCTCTCTCTATCCTTTAGAATTAAACTGGCTGTTTTTGCTACTGTGTCTTTAAGACAGATATATGTAAACAAACTCTGTTCTGATATGCTGCCCTGTATTGTACCCGATTTAAGAAGCAGACTGGGCTTAAACACTTCGCATAACTTAAATGTGAATGGGTGGGCTAAACTCCTGGAGGCTGAATGAGCAGATACATGTAAACGCACTGTACATACAAAATAGTCTTTTCCAGCATTTTTCCAGCTTAGTTTCCATGCATGGAGTATATGGACAATGTTCACATACTACATAAATCTTTATTATTTCATACAAGTGAAGAAAATGAGGTTTTCCATGATATGGACCCCTTACAGAGCACAATGAGGATGCTGCAGAATTTCCACACCTCTCATTTTGATTATATGATTACATGATTCCCATCAGAAATTTTAACTACTTTTAAAAATACATTTCTTACGTCATAATATTTCTTATTGTTTAGATGCATTTTTGCAAAGCATTTTTCTTGTGTGTTGATATAGAGTCTCTGATTATGGTTGTGATACTATTCTCCCTGAAGTTTATTTCTGTTCAAATAATCATGTCATAAATCTGACCTGTGACGAGCAGTATGTCTCCTGGATATACCATCAGGGCCCAAAATGCTGCTGTCCTCCACAGCACCACCTTCATCTCCACTCCTGACTGGTCAGTAACAATCAATGACGCCAGGGCAACGCTGGATCCCGCTGATGCTCCGGACTTCACTTTGATCTCTTTCAGGTGGCAGGGGTGCACCACAGCAACCAAGATGGAGTAATGCACACCAAGATTCCTGCACCTAGAGAGAAGAGTGGTGGGACCATCAAGTGGCAGCCCACTTTTCTGTCCCATCTGCTGATGGCCCTTGGCTGCGGCTGGAGATAGCTTTCGCTCGTTTAGAGGTGCTGGGAGCAGGTGAGGTTTCTACAGATGAGTTTGATGAGCCAACAAGTAGTCCAGGACCCTCTGGCTCCATAGCCACCTCAGCATGGCCTGGAGGACTAGCTTGAGAGCACAGAATCCCATCAGGTGTGCACTCCAAAACCACACCTCCTTCCTGGTGCCTCTGGCTCAGACTCCTATAGAAAAGCTCAACTGAACCTTGCAGGGTTCCTCCCATGCCCCTCAGCCCTGGGCTGACCTCTGGACTATAGAGCTCTGGGGAGCCCACAGAAGCTGAAGGTGTTTGCTTTGGTGGGGTTTGGGGAGATCTGGGTGTTCCCAGTGAACCAGCTTCAGGTTGCTTAACCACTCTACCTCTCAGGAGCAAACCTTGGCTCTTGGTCCAAATGGTTAGATATTCAGTCTCCACAGAGATGGCAGGACTTGGCTGAGGGTGTCTGATCACAGGGTCAGAACTTGGGCCAGGTTGTGGGGAAGGGAAGCAGCTGTCCAGGTATTCAGTAACCACCCCAGGACAAAAGCCATCCTTTTCTGGATGTGCATGCTTTGCTAGATAAGACTGGCTAATCGAAGGAGTGGAGTCATCTTCAGACACTGCCTTGTTAGCCTCAGGAGAAGTTGAAAGGCTAAGCTTCTCATGATCATTGGTTGGGTTCAGGCTACCAATGACTTCCTCAGCAATATCAGTCCTTATGCGACTAGACAGGCCAACTGAGGATTTGAAGTCATCTTCAGACACTGTCTTGTGACCCACTTTAGAACCTAAAAAGCTATGAACTATGGCTGGTTTCAACTTACTAATGGCGTCTATAGCATCATCAGTGCCTACACCACCTGGATCTTTTGCCATAGTGTCTCCATCATATTCAGATTGTGTTTGGACTTCATTAGTTTCTGTCCTGGGTCTCAGTCTACCCTCACTCCAGGAAAGCTCCAGAGTCTTCCACTGCAAGGACTCTTCGTCTGGAGCCTTGTCAGAAAGTGATGAGGGATGAGGTGCGCCCAAAAACACATGGATTTTCGGTTTATCCGTCATACTCGTATTCCTTCACAGTGTTCATCTTTCTAATATTCAGTTATGCTCAGCTTTATAGCACTTATATTTTCAGTGTTTTCTTGAGGAAGAAGCATTTCTCGGCTGAAAAATAAAAACACATTATTGTTACGAAATTATCTGAGAGCTAGGTGGCTGCTTATTCAGAGACAAACAAGCCGACTTAAGCCTAATTACTCCATCAGGATTCACAGATGAAAATCCACTGTTAGTCAATAACTAGGCTAGTTTTGTCTGGAAAATATCCTCTTATAAGTCTCAATAATTATATTTTATCCTGAATAATCCACATACAAATATAAATGCATTTAATAGCAAATTTACCATTACTATGAGAGTACTTTTGTGTATTTTGAAGTCTCAGTTTACTAAAACTACATTTGTTACAGTAAAGATTTGTTACAGTGTCCTGTTGGAAAGTGGTTAATTGTATAACTCTTATGTGCTTATCTGTCTATCAGAAAAGTTGTTCTGTCTCTAAAGGCCTGATCCTCTAAGGTCATCTTAGAAGGTTCTGTACTGCTCTGTGCCTCTCTATCATGGGTACATAACTTTAAGACTTAGAGGGGGAAGATTGTTTGGGCCAGTCAAGGGTGATAACACTCTCTATTGTTGTTTGCTTCTGCTCTCTGTTTGGAGAATGAACCAAAATGGTGATCTGTTAACATCTCTGTATGAAAACATCTTGAAATAAACCTATCCTTCTTCACTTTCCTCACAAGTTCTTGACTCTGTCTAATTTATTCTCATTAACTTCAACGACTCCACAAGTCAACAGTCCAGAAAAACAGGTCATAGAGTGTTCAGCTGCAGCTCCAGTGCAGAATCCCACAGCTGGCAATAATCACGAAAACACCTTCATTGTACACATTCCTTGAATGCAAGAAATATAGTTGGGAAAAAAAAAATCACCAATCAGGCGATGGGTGTTGGCTCATTTGAGCCAATGACATAACAGAGTCCCATACATGTTGAAAGAGCAGGAGATTTACTGCATAAAGGCATACAGGAAATGTGTGGGGTGGAGGACTGGGGTGGCATGTAAGGAGGAAGAGGGAGGAGAAACAGAATGCAGATACAGTATCACTGATTCATCTATATTCTAAATAACATCAGCTGCAGCAAAGATAAGCATGTGGCTTTTAGTTTAATTGCAGACACTGAATTATGCTCTAGTTGCTTACTTACCGGTACATGCCTTATTGTTACAGTCTATACATCAGACATTTTCAGCTAAACAGCTAATCATCTTTTCCCCAAGGCTGAAAATTTTACACTCTAGTGACTGGACAATAGTAAAAGACACTGCAAAATCACTTCACACACAATTTGTGATGCTTTTAACTGTCCAGATGGTCTTCGTTTCAGCCATTGTTTATGGTGACAATTTGCATTAATGCTGATGCCTCTACCTTGAAAAATCTGAACACTGTCTACTACAGTGCTCTCAGATCTGTCACTGCTGACCCTTACGGCACTCATCAGCAGGATATTCATTATTAATTATATTCATGCACAAAACCTTTTTAACAAAACATCATACTCTTACACAATTTTGTCTCTACAGCTTGACATAGACTAATTCACTTGTATAAAGGAACAGCTTGTCAAAAAATCCTGACATTGTGAGTAAGAACCACTTTCTGTGCCCCTATTTTAAATAAAATCTGCAAAATTACATTATTTATTATTGTTAAGGCCAGATATTAGATTACTGATGCCTGGCAATGTTTATCTGATGGGTTATCGTGGAATCAGGGACACATTCTAAATCAGTCTTTGGTTTCATGTTTCATGCATCTCTAAAGATGTCAAAGAGCCACTGTTTGGATAACTCTAGGGGCAGATTACTTCAGACGCAGGAAAGACGTGATAAACTTCATGCTACGTCCTCATGTGTAAAGCATTTGGGTTGATCATTATATGTGGTCTGCCAAAACAGCAGATTCACTTTTGGACCCTGCTGACCAAAGAATTACCCGGTCAGAGTCTTATCTGTTTACTATAGTAGTGTGGAACAAGAGGTCAGTGGCTGAACCTTGCTATATATGACCTCAGTCTGCAAGACAGAAGATCCTCTGCTTGAAAGACCAAAGGACTTCAAATACAGCGTGACTGACGTATAGGACAGAAATGACCTCACAGGCCTAAAGAGTGAAAAACATGGGTGGATCACTAACGTCACTGCCAGTACTTGACCACTGGCTGGGCAGATAAAGCGCAGTGATGCAAGAATCATAGCGAATTTCTGCATTCGGGTTTAGGCTAATGAACTTTTTGACTGTTAGTCACTCTGTGTATTTTGTAATTGAAAACAAAACTTGAAAGTCTATTTCATCACCTAATGTCTCTCATCAGACGCCCTCCCCCCCCTGCATTTTGTTTACATTGCCTCAACAAGTCAAAACCTGTTTAAGAAGGTTACTGTTTCTGCAAGTTACTAAGCCAGAGCTCAGCAAATAAATTTGAGTGGGACAACACCTGTCAAAGCCCCACCTTCACCTTTACTGCAAAATATGCAGCAGGGTCCCAGAATTTCAAAAAGTGCAGAGCATACAGAATCACACTGTGTGTGAACAGCTGCCTATGACAAACTTAAAACAGCATTTACAAATCACTAGTACAGAATGGTGGGGATGCTATGTGGCCCTTAATAATCCAAATGAGAGTTAACCCCTCCTGGAATGACTGAGCTCCCAGTGACAGCTTTATGATCAAAGTGCCCAAAAGGCAGGCAACTTTTTCAACATAGCATTTGATTACTATTACCGCTTTAGTACAGTAGAAAACAATGCCCTGGAGTTTTTGGCGGTGAATCCTAGCGATCCAGGGTGTGCTGTTTGCTCTGGAGGTTTGTTATTCAGCTCATAGACCACCTCCCAGAGTGAGGTGGGGACTCAGCACTGCTCGCTTTTTAACAACAGCCACTGTTTAGCTATAGATGGTGTGTGCCAGTTCAGCACTGAGCAGAGAGGGCGAAGGAAGAGGACTTTCATTTCTTCTCCTCCCTATCACGCCCGGTAACAGCAAACCCAGCGAGATTTCCTCGACTATCTAGCCTCTCTGTGCCCTGAGACATGTACAGGTATCTGGGGGAGCTGCTTACCCGGGCAGCCGGCAGCGGCGCCTTGGCCTCGGGCTGCGCCGACGCGGGGCTGCCGGCATCAGCCTCCCTGCTTCGGCTTCAGCGCTACAGCCAGGCCGTGGACAAAGAGGATGACCCGAACTTCTTCAGGATGGTGGAGGGCTTCTTCGACCGAGGTGCGGCGATAGTCGAGGACAAACTCGTGGAGGGTTTGAAGACCAGAGAGACGCCGGAGCAGAAGAGGCACCGAGTGAGGGGAATCCTGAAGATCATTAAACCGTGCAACCACGTCCTGGCCGTCTCCTTCCCCCTGAAGCGCGATAACGGGGAGTGGGAGATTGTAGAGGGCTACAGGGCCCAGCACAGCCAGCACAGGACTCCCTGCAAAGGGGGTAAGTTAGATAAGCAAACGAGCTCATGACATCGCAGAACCGGGAGGATTTTCTGTGATAGAAAGCTAGGGCCCGGTGCTAACACGCTAGGTTAGTTAACTGGCTAGTTATAAACAGTTCTGAGTTAGAGTGGAGTTCAGAGGGCTGACTATAGAGTTATAATGTTTAGCTATCTTAACACCAAACGTTGCTTGAGAGCTCACATTTGGTTCAAATAATCCATGTTTTAAAATCACTCGGCGCTGTTTTTAGTTTTAGGAGTAGCCTGCTCCTCTAGCCCCATCCTCACTGCTGTGGAGCTGCGCTGGAGTCTGTCAACAGCTTAAGAAGTTAAACTTGTGCTACTGCAGTTCAGCTTATGGCCGATAGTCCTGTAGCTACATTAGCTATACCACTGCAAAATGACCACTGTCTGCTAATAATGCTAATAATAATGCGGTCGGCCTTGTTCAGGTTTACCACCTTTCTCTCTTTGCCTTCTCCATTTATTTTTAGGTAAAGCTGGGTATTCTTGTTGGCGGGCCTGACGAAGTTCGCATGACTGCCTTAGTACAGCTTTGCATAGTGTTGTTAGCTACAAAATTTTGTTATTCTTGGCCCAAATGTTCATGCTGTAATTTCTTTGAGCACTGCTTGACTTTTGCTGAAAGTCCACTTTTGAAGTCTGCAAATCCAGGTCGTTATAAGATTGGAAGATTTTATTCTAAAGTGTCAGAAGGTTCAAAACATAACTTCTAACTTTTGGAAAGGCTGTCCTGTTTGTTCTATTCTTTAGACCCTTTCACTCCTCCATGTCCGAGGAATTGGTAACATTTGAATATGAAGCTTGAACTGGACAGTATGTTATTCAGCAGACCTTTGATGTTTTTCATTCATGCTTTCTTTGGTTAGTCAGTGGATGAATATCCTGATCTACTTTTCCACGGACTTACATTTAGGTACAAAGGCCACCTTGTGTTTGTCGTGAAATGAAAGCATATTCCACCTTAACTTGAATAGCTTTCCGTTTTTGCATGTCATTACTTGCTCTAATTCACTAGACGTTAACCACTTTACATATGAACTGTGGAACAACTTGTAACTCCTCCAGCCTGTTTTGAAATTTTGTTAATGTAGTCAGATTTTCAGTTTTTTGGAAGACAGTCAGTAGCCTTGTAGGAAGCTTTTAGGAAGTAACTGCCTCAGTTACTGCAGTACAACACCAGTACTTATAATACTTGTGCCAGAGGTAGCTTGTAAAACAGTAGTTTAAGTAGTTTAAGTTAGGGTTCAGTAGTAGTAGGAAGGGTTGGATGTCTGCCATGTTGTTTGAGCTGCATTGCTCCACTGCTGGCAAAACCAGATGCTGAGCCTTAGTTGATGAACTGCATCCCTCTGTTTGCGTGATATGTGTAGTTCATTGTTGTCATGAACACACCCTGTTTCACTGTTGAAGAAAAAACAACTTTCCTGATGTCTCACTCACCAGCTAACTGAAGACGGAGGTTATTTTGTTCATTTTGCATGTGATGACTAATCAGCCTCACTCACAGAGGTTGGAGAATGCTGTTTGTAATTGTTTGACTAAAAAGATGACTCTAGTTTGAACTATTAGTGTTTGTTGTCCTGCTATTCTATAATCCTTCATAAGTTTGTTTTCCAATTAATAATGAAGCTTTTTACATCCGCAAAATGATTATACTTTTTTATGTCAGAACATTGTTTAACAAATGCTTGTAGGTGAAGGCAAGTCTGGGATAGTTTTTCTGCAGCCACACCCGGATTGAGGCCTTCCCTGACTTTTTTTTTCCAAATAGTGGAGGGAGTGAGTCATCATGTCGACTGGTTTTCTGCCTGCTCTGCCCAACATCATTTCCCTTCTTTTGTGGTTCTTTTTAATGTCCAACAGCTGAAACTATTTAAAATCTTCCACTGCAACCAAACAACATGCTGCCTAAAACTATGCATGAGTCACAAGATTCAGAGCTTAGTTTGAAACAATACAGTGGTGTTAGTCACAAGCTAACATGCTAGGTATATTAATATGCTGCAATACAATTCTGTTAAATATTACATGTGTATTATTACATCCCGAACAATTTCTGTTTTTATTTGCTCTGTTTAGGCTATTTTAATCAGTCTTTTTTAAAGTAAAAGTAGAGGATGATCTTAAAATACTTATTGGACATGACCTATACACCCATTCCCCTGACACTTTCTGATTAATAGGATTTCAGTGGATCCAGTGTATTTGTAGGGATTTGACTGATCTGGCTAATGAGAGGGGACATTAACATTGCCCATAGTTTCCATAATGAGCAAAGTACATACAGGGAAAACGTGTATAATATGCATGAAAGTTGGTCACATGTTTATATTTTGCATCTGCTTCCAGGTATTCGTTACAGCACAGAGGTGTCTGTTGATGAAGTGAAAGCTTTGGCTTCTTTGATGACATACAAATGTGCTGTTGTCGGTAAGTGAGGTTTTTAAAATTATTATTATTTAGCTACTGTCTTCATGTGCGAGCCTGAATATCCTAACGTGAACAGCCATGACTGTAATTAAATGTCTCATCCACAGATGTACCTTTTGGAGGAGCGAAAGCTGGAGTGAAGATCAACCCCAAGAATTACTCTGTAAGTCCATCGTGTTTTGAGTTTTAAGAATTAAAAATTGGGGATATGATGGTGCGGTTGTAAAGGTAATGAAGCTTACTAGTTAAATTATTATGTGACACCATGAAACACTAACAGGGCTAATTTCATGTAATACATTTCATGTCAGTATGAATACTTTGTAGATTTGTTTATTAGACTTGTGATTTTCACTGTTAGGACTAGTTTTCCAGATTGCCTCACTTCCAGTTGCCAATACAGTGTAAAATTGCCTGTTTGCCACTATTACTTTTGGCAGCAAGTGCTTAGATGAATGTTGTGGAGTCATAATTTGGCACTTACTGCAGCTGAGAAAGCCCCCTGACTCAGAGTTGGCACAGAGGATCAAGTGAAGGCCCTATAGCTGTATCTGTTCTTGGCTTTTGTTGATATATTTTGAAACAAATCTAATTAACATATTAGTCAAGTCTTAAGTCTTTGGTTGGATATTAAATGGTAAGTAAAGAACACGACTCCTGTCCCAAAAGATCAGAGGTCAGTAAGTCTAGTGTTTCTCAAATGAGTGTGAAACTATGGACAATAATAATTAACTAATAACTAATTAACTTGTAATTTAGGAAAAGATAAACACTGATTTAGCAAACATCATCTTTTTACAACAACCTGTTAATGTCTACATGTGATAAGTAGGATAGGAAGGGATTCCATACCTTTAGAAAATTTAGACTGTTTGCTTTTTATTATATATGTTACTTTTTTCATCAACAAGCAAAAGAACATGTTCTTTATCCATTGCATAATGGAGGGTCCCTCTGTTCTTTTCCAAAACAAAGCTAGCAGCATTTTGCCTCCAGAATACATATATCAATTAAATTACAAGTGCAGCTTTCCATAACAAAATTGTCAGGGGAAAATACCTAAAACAAAAAGTTTTTTCAGAGGTAGATCTATAGACAAAATGTGGAAAATAGATATAGACACTTCTTTCCAGAACTCCTGGACTACATTGCAATCCCCACATGCAATGCAACAGTCTGCCTTTTGAGAGCAAACATTTCATGCATATATCAGGAAAAAACAACATGAAGTTACTCATTTTTCAGCAGCAGAAAAAACAGGAAAAATGTATTTAACATTTAAATTTCACAGAAACCTTCAACACTAAGTAAAATATAAAGTTTGGCAGTACTTAATATGTCCACTCTTTACTATTGTTCACCCTCCCGTTGCTTCTATCCTAACTTATCTGTCCTTCCAATCTTAAAACCAGCAATTTGTGTTCTCCCAACAAAAGTCGTTCCCAAAGGTGTCACTAACATTATATTCGCTTTAAAAGAGACACTAATATTCAAACAAGCGACTCCTTAAACATAGCTTAACTGTCTTGCAAATTTCTTTCTCATGAAGGTCTAAAATGGCTAAAGGAGACATCTCTGAGGAGGTAATCCTCACAGAATGCCTATGTTTTTATTTCATTTTTAAATACCATTTTGCTATAACTAGACTGGCCATTGTTTATTCAAAATACAGCAAAACATCAACAGCAAAAATGTCCCCAGGAGGTAGGTCTTTTAAACCTACCTATTTGCTTGAACTAGACACCTGGCAATGAAACTAATTTCTCAGTAATAGGGGTTTAGTTAAATGATATTTGCATCTTTATAAACATTGTTGTCCTTTTTTGTCATTTAGGACAATGAGCTGGAGAAAATCACAAGACGCTTCACCATTGAGCTGGCAAAGAAGGGATTTATTGGTAAGTAGATTCGACTTTTGGTGTTCTTGCCAAAAGCAGACAGTGGTGTGCTCTTAAATTAACAGCTTCCAAAGCCTAAAGTGGATGGAAAAAAAATCACCTGAGCATTAGAAAAGAAGTGCTGTGCTGAGAGTTTGTTCTAAAAGTGATCCAGTTTGCTCAGTATGCTTCAGTTTATATGCTTATAGAAGGTCACATAACTCCTAGACAGCCTTTGATATGCAGACCATACTGAGTGAATGTGGTTTTGCTGGCCTGCCCACTCACAACCCCCCCCCGCCACACACACACACACACACACACAATCTTCTCAAATGAAATTATCTTAATTTAGTCAGTAGATCTAATATTTCTCTTTTTGAGATTGTCGTAAGCTTATTTTAGATTATTTAACTATTTTTTATTTAAGTGCCTATATTGACAGATAATTTTGCTTGTTTCAAATAAATAATCTTCAAATAAACAAAATCTGCCAGTGCAGTGACAGAATTTTACTTACTAAAGTCACGTAAAACAAGTAAAAAGTCAAGCAATAGGATAACCTTAAAGTAAGCCTACAGTAATCTTTTAACAAGCCTACATCAACCTCAAAATGAAATAGATACTGACTAGATTTAATCTGAAGTAATTTCACTTGCGTAGATACCGTATTTTCCAGTGCATTTTTAGTACATAGCCTAGGCATTGTATCTAAACCCCTTTAGAAATGCCTGATGTAACTTGTTTGTTTTTAAAGCTGTATTGGTGTGGAACACTTGGTATTCATTTCTTGAACATTTTGAACAAGAACATTGGCAAAAATGCCAACTAATGAGATTGTCATGCACAAAACTTTTGTTCTCAGTGTTAAAATTTTGTAGTGCTTTATTGATTTCAAATGATACTTACTTTGTTGTGTAACCAAGCTAAGGCATCATTTGCTTGATGGCAGATTTGTTGTCCTTTCCAACCTGCCTAGGTTCTGTTGACTATATCAACACAATCAGTCAGGTAAGAAGGGAGGAGGTTTAGCGATTGTTTTTTCCAATATTTTTAATTGAAAAATATTTCATTTGAAACGGTTTCTCCTTTGAATATCTTGCCATTCTGCTTAAAGGTCTTGCTGGTAGTTGTTTATTGTCCACCCAAATATGCACCATCCTTACCAGAAGTTTCTGAACTACTGTCCGTCTTGGTAACTAATCATGATAGAATTCTTCTGACTGTTGGTTTTAATCTTCATGTTGATGAAGGCTCAGACAAAAAAGCTACTGAATTCATGCAACTTTTCAACACATTTGACACACATTCATGGTAACACTAGATTTAGTCATGTAAGAAATTTTGGAAATCGCCATCTCAGATCACTACTGTGTGTTTTTAGTATGACTGCTTCTGTTGATGTGAAAACGGTATTTTTACACATCGGCTGCTTTTAGTAACGCTCAACTTTCCAAACCTCCTCTACATATTAACTCAACAGTGCATAAAATGCTCAGCAATTTTAACGGTAAGCTAAGATCTGTTCTAGATAGTGTTGCACCAGGAAAGACTAAAGAGAAGTCGTTGACCACAAAAATGCCATGGGAAAAAAAGAACAGATAAACCACCTCGAAAGGGACTGCAACAAAGCAGAGTGGAAATGGAGGAAAACTAAACAAACTGTTCACTATAAAATTCTTAAAAATTCTATTAATATTTATAACAATGCAGTACGAACAGAGAGACAGAAATGCCACTCAAAACATATTAATGACAACAGACACAGCCCAAGAGTTTTTCCAATAATTAATTGCCTTTTAAATCCTTAATTAACCATGATTCTCACTGAGGCTTCTACATCGAAATGTATTGATTTTATTCTTTTTTGACTCTATTTTTATTTAGAAGTAAAACATTCTGAATAGTTTTAAAAAGATTAATGAGACAAAACTTTTTAAAAAAAATGGCCATGCAAATTTTTCTACCTGTATTTCAGACCATTCAGAGATTTATTATTATTATTATTATTATTTATTATTATTATTATTTTTATTTTTATTATTATTTGGTAGCATAGTGTTAGGGGGAAAACAGATTGTGAATGAGAGATATCAGGTATTTTGAGTTTTAACAGGAGTTTCTTATTAGATTGAGTTAGCTTCTTGAACTTCACAACAGTTGCTGCAAAAATTGCATTTGTGGGCAGAGCATGAATCAATCATATTGAATATGATTACTTACAGAGGCTTTATGCTGCTAGTAATCAATGGCCAATGGTGGATCAGTAGTACATTTAAAGCTCCCTTCTCTTCTTATCTCAGGGCCTGGCATTGATGTCCCTGCTCCTGACATGAGCACTGGAGAGAGGGAGATGTCCTGGATTGCTGACACATACGCAAACACCATGGGCCACCACGTAAGTCCCCTGTCCTGCTGATTAGTTTGAGCTCACAGTAAGATATGGGATGAGGTCTGTTCTGTTGACTTTGCTGATAGTAAGTTTCAAATCAGCTGCACAGAGGCTAATTGGTTAACACAGTCACATAAACCATAGCTTATCGCTCTAGAGGAGCAGATATTGTTTTTGTCCATGATGTATAATATAACAATATTTGCCTTCCTAAAATGCTTACCACTGCCTGCTCTCCTTACAATAAAGCTTTTTGTTCCAGCCATGGCCCCTCCTCTATTGTCACCCTGATTTAGAGCAGTGGTTATGACTCTTTGACCTGTTCTCAGGCTTTGAACTCTGTGAACTCTGTGTTACCGTGGTAATGGGGAGGCTTGATGACAATTACCGCTCTGAAACTGTTGTTCTCTGTGTTTTGTGAGTGGAGTAGGTGGGAAAATTACAGGTCAAATTGGCGAAACCTAAATGTAGGTGTAGAAACAGCGCCTAAGTGTTTTGGAATTTTGTGTTGTTGTGGAACACAGATGACCCAAAATAATTGCTTCCTGTGAACGTGACTAAATCTGTTTCCCAGCAATGCACAATATTTTTCAGCCTTTATTAATTCAAAGCCACACAGTGCAGAGTACACAGTCTTGTCCCGTGCCTGACTGTGCAGGGCTCTGCTTATCGCCGAGCTGTTATGAGACTAGATGTCTGCTTATACATACTGTGATGGGTGTAAATGTACACAGTATTCTGTTTTGGATATTAGGGCTAGCCGAAAATTGTAGATGGTATAACTCTCTCCAGTGGTCCACTTGTAAAAAGACAGCAAAAAAAGCAGCAATCCAGCATGAAGCTTGGATCAAATCTCAGCTGTGCCACTTGTTATTCAGAGTTTATTTTTACTTATTTACACAGTGATTGTACTGCTCAGATTAGCACTGTTATTGTAAAGAAAGTCTTTTGCTTACTGCACTCAGATTTATAGCAGTAAGCAGTGCTGTGTTGCTGGAGCAGATTTAATTCACCTTAGAAGCATGTAGCCTTTGGTCTCCCAGACTGGTGGCACTCGTGTAGTATAGAGAGTGAAAAAGGTTGAAACTACTGGCGAGAGACAAAATGTCTGTTTCCATCCAGAGATGGAACGTTTGCATTTTTCAGTGTTTTAAAAACATTTGTCGATGTAGGCTATGGAAACGTAAGTTGTTGGTTATGTTTTCATCAGTTGTCACCAAAACTTCCAGTTCAACTCAGTCATTAAAATTGTTCATCAGCTGTATTAGATTTTTTTTTTGTAGAAAAAGAACATATTTACACACAAACTTTTTTTTCACTCTTACATGAAACACAAACAGCATGAAGAGTTTTTAAATGAATGCTGTCATTTTCAGCTCTTACAGAAAGGGATTTCCAAATAATACAGCCTTTCTAAACAAAGTGCTCCAAAAGCTCTATGTGGCAGATAAATGTGCTGATAATTTAATTTTTTATTTTATTTCCTTAGCAATATGTTATGAAATTAGGGAAACCAGGTTTATTCAAGTTATGACATACATGAAGTTTAAGATGGAAAATGTGAAAGGTGTCATTATGCAAAGCATTTTTATGTGTTTGATGGAAACCAAAGCAAAAACTGATTTTTAATGCATTTTCATTTTATCACTTGCATTGCAACATTTGCACAAAAAACATGGACGCATAGGTATCGTTGCTTTACATAGCAATATAAAACATCCTTAAGTTTAATGTAATGTAATTTAATATAGATGGTTTTTATTTGAAAGGTTTGCTTTGGGTGATGTATTTTGATATTGGTGATGATTAATGAATCATTATTTGTGACTCGTGATTCATGTCTGTTCTGTTTACGTAGTAAATGACCTTGATTTACTAAGATACAAAAGCCAGTTTCAGGGCGTTTGGAAAATCTGGTCTACATTTTAATGAGCTTTCTCGAAGACACTGCTTTCACAGAAACGCTTTGTTTGAAAGTCATCTTATTTCCTTTCCTGCCATTTTTGTGACACTGGTTCTCGCTTACTCTTTCTTTTTTTGTGATTCTTTTGTTCCTTTCTTGCTTATTCACCCACCCAGGACATCAACGCTCATGCTTGTGTGACGGGAAAGCCTATCAGTCAGGGTGGAATCCACGGCAGAATCTCAGCCACCGGCCGAGGAGTCTTTCACGGCATTGAGAACTTTGTCAATGAGGCTGCTTACATGAGTCAGCTGGGCTTGACTCCTGGCTTTGGAGACAAGACTTTTGTTATTCAGGTATGAGGAAACATGCCGTGCAGTCACAATGTCACGTCATGTGTGCACTGTAATGACATTTGTGGGGAAGGGTTGCATGTGCTGTATTCATTAGTGCAAATTAGATTAACAAATTTCATTAGTGATGAGACATCGAGCTTTGTAAGTCTATATGGGCATTAAGGAGCTGGTGACAAAACACATCCTTTTAATTAAAACTCATCAGTGTTCTATAGGCCTACTTGTTCTTAAAGGTAGAGGAAGCATATGATGTACAGCAGTAGTGTATTAGTGACGTGATGCAGCTCACGAGCCAGGTTTATGCTTAAACGCTGACTCTGCTGCTGACTTTGATTACTCAAGACGTTTTAGAATGTGCTGCAGCTCCCCTTGATGCACAGTGTACACTTACCACGTCTTACTCCATTCCTCTAGATTTCCGTTTTCTCTGTTAAAGTCAGCCTGAAATCAAAAAAACATTGAGCTCTAATTATAGACAGTCTACCGGCACTTTGCGCTGGTGGGGGTGGCCAGTTTAACTAGTTCTAATAAGAACTTTCATGCAAATGAGCACAGGCACAACTTTGTACTTATCACATGAACAGTGCATATTAACCACATGTTTGACTCACATGCTTTCTATATAAAAGCCCTTGTCTGCCACGTGGGAGGGGAGAAAAACTTTAATCCTTGTCTAATTCACGTTCAAACTGTGACTCATTAGGTTAGGAGTTATTTTCTTGAGATTTTGACTTAAAATTAGTTATTAGGCATCAAGAAAGCATTGATCATTTCAACGTCATTATTTAGAAAAAATGAGATATTATTTTGATATAATACATCAGACATTAAAAAATAAGTAATATGCTTGACTTTTGGCTGGTGATATGAAATGATGTTTCATGCCACATGCATTTGGAAAACACATGATACTGTAAAATGCCTGTTTGATTTCACTGGTTTCACTGAGTGTGACCTTAGGTATGCGCAGTACATCAAAGGCTGTGACATTTCTGCTACAGAAGCCACAGTGTGACTAAAGTAACAAGTATCTTTAGGAAATCAGGGGTTGCAGAGCCAAAAGAGTTTAAATATGCGCTTTTACAATCGTTTAGAAAAGAAAACTGTCAATTTATTATTCAGGCAAAAACTTGAAAACCTCTCTTTTTCTCTTTGAGCACAAACAATGGCAGCTATGTGGGCACCAAAAGAAGACAAGTTTTCCTCAGACATTAAACAGTGCACAGTCAGTATTTACTCTGTGTCTTGGTAAATCAGAGTAAGTGCTTTGTAAGATTAGTTTCCTCCCAGTATTTTGCACTTTAAAAGGGAACTCCTGTAAATGCATAGCAATAAGGCAAAAGCGCTAAAGAAAAGCGGCCACCTGTTTTGATCCTTTTATGGGTGCCTAAAGACCCTTTATGTTTACTAAATCACGACAGACACTTTTCTTAACGCAAACAGTAAATGTGCCCCAAAATTCTTGTTTTCCTGTAATCTTCAATCAAATGAAGTGCCCTTTGCCCTTCTCCAAAATGTCTTCTGATTTTTATGTTACTGTGCTGCAGCGGTCAGGGAAAGATTATATTAACCATATTTTAATCATGTTTCACCTCCCCCTCCCACCACCCCTATCTGTCATCAAGCAAAAACACACAGCTAGCTCAGAGACCCTCCTTACTAACTAATATCCGAGAGGTATCCATGTGGGTGTAGTGAGAACAGTTAGATCAGTTTTTGTTTTTTTTTCCTTTACGCTTTACTGTCGTCATCCAGTGTTGACAGCAGCTAACTTGATGATAAAATATGCCCTTTAGAGCTGTGTTCACACAAATGACAGATATGGGTCACCAACACAAATGTGGACAGTCAAGGCAAATTTGTGAAAATGATTGCGCAATTAGGCTTGTAATGTAAACTTAACTGTAGAGCAGAACAAACTTTAAACTCTAAGGTGCTCCAGGATTCTGTGATCGGAGTTTGAGATTGCAGCTTTACCACGTACTTGTGGGAGCTTATTAAAGCTATAATTTGATGTGATGGCAGCCAAACAGACGTGCGACCTGTGAGTGATATTGTTTTAGGATTGTTTGTCCTTTTTATGAATTTTTGAGTCACATCTCAAACTTTGCCACAAGGTGGCATTAGTGAATCATTATGCAGAGGTACAAAACTCAGTTGGGGATTTGACTGTGAACTGCCTGTTTGCCATTAGGCAGTGTTTTATAAGAGAAACAGTGTTTTAAGTGTCTGAGTTTTAAGTGTCCATGCTCGAACACTGATTATCAAGCATTTTACATGGACAGGTGCGTTAGAGTAAGGAAAACATGAAAATGTGCCATGAGTGAGATCTTTGATGGAGTACCACTGCTTTGAATGATGAATGTTAAATTTGAATATCCGATACGCAGAAAATTGATAAAGTCTTGCTGTTTTGATGTTCTGGCTTAGGGCTTTGGTAATGTGGGCCTGCACTCCATGCGTTACCTGCACCGCTTTGGGGCCAAATGTGTGGGAATAGGAGAGCTGGATGGAAGCATCTGGAACCCTAGTGGCATTGACCCCAAAGAGCTGGAGGACTACAAACTGGTGAGTCTTGAAATAACCTGGTTCCTTAGAAGCCGAGAGTTACTGCTGTTGTATTGTAAATAAATATAACTATGAAATTTCATAATGAACTAACTAGGTACACAGTGAATACATACATTCATTTATATTATGTATTGACAACTGTCTGCACCTTTTTCCATTTGTTTTGATTGTAAGAAATGACAAAAGTGGCAAAAATGTGAAGGAAGTTTTTCTCTCTGCAAAACAAGATGTACAGCACTAGCTTTCCATCAAAATGAAATCATAATAAAATATCTCCTCTTCTACTTAAAAACCCAATCATGGTATGGATTGAAAGTATAGAGTATTTTGTGTCGTTGTGAAGCTTTTGGCAAACCAGATTCGCAGATTGTTCAGAGGTGTTTCTCAATAACAAAATGGTAAAAGGTTGCCATCTAGTGGTTGTACAGTAGTATAAGGACAAGAGTGTGCTTGAAGATGTCACTGTATCCATGCATTACGTGTTCTCTTTCTGACATAAAATGACTGCTAACCTGTCTGCCTCCAGGCCCATGGTACTATTGTAGGCTTTCCCAAGGCCACACCCTACGAGGGCAGCATCTTGGAGGCAGACTGTGATATTTTGATCCCTGCTGCCAGCGAGAAACAGCTGACCAGGAACAACGCCAGCAGGGTCAAGGCTAAGGTTGGACATCAGTTTCACGACCTGCACCACATCAGTTATGATATTATTTTGAGTGTTATGTGCTAATGTTGCTTGCCAAGATTAACATAAATCTATGAAAGACTTAAATAGCTACATTTATTTAATTCATGCTTGAGTCTGTTGAAGTGTTTATATTAAATTTGTGGTGCTCTTCCAGCTGCAGTTTAGTTGTATGAAAATTGGCAATAAAGTTGCTGCTACTGTTTTACTGTTTTTATAGATCATTGCTGAAGGAGCCAATGGCCCCACCACCCCTGAAGCTGACAAGATATTCCTTGAAAGGAACATTATGGTTATTCCTGTAAGTTTAGCATTCATTGCAGCTTTTCTTATCAATGCATTTTTGTATTAAGTATTGTGTGATTGTGTGGTTCATTAGAGCCTAGCAATCCTCCTGTAGATCTACCATCCTAAAGACTATTTAGAACGTTCTCAAGATGTAGAGTGATGGATGATAGGTCTCCTGGTGCAGAATTGGGCATCCAAAGGTTGGTGTGGTTGTTTATTTAACTATTATATTTAACAGGACATGTACCTGAATGCTGGCGGTGTGACTGTCTCCTACTTTGAGTGGCTTAAGAACCTGAACCACGTTAGCTATGGAAGATTGACCTTCAAATATGAGAGAGACTCCAATTACCACCTGCTCAGTAAGTCCAGTGCGGTGTATATATATTTTTAGTAGTTATTTACTTTGTTAGGAAAAGACAAGAAACATGTCTCACCACAATAGTTGTACTCGCTGAACCTAAATTAAACTTCGAGAACAAAAGGTGGATTAACACAACCCTGTAAGTGTTTGTATACACACATTCTTGTTTTTATACTTTGTCAATTGTCAGCATTCTTATGTTCCATGTGTATATTTATATAAAGTGAGGTCCTTAAGTCTGAGACCACATTAAAAATCTGGGATTTTTACATTTAAACCTAGAAATAATTGACCAGAAGTTATAGAATTCTGAAAAAATGAAAACAAAAAACTTATCACAAATGAGGAAATATTTCAATGTTTTGCACTGTTTCTAGGTTACTCTTCAAATTAAGCAATATTGTGATACTGTCCATAGTAAGGTCTTTGTACCAAAAAGGAAAAAGGTCAGGTTTTTTTTTTGTTTGTTTGTTTGGTTTTTAACTCATTCTGTCCATTGAAGCATGTGTTTAAATGACTCTCGGGTGAATTTGATCTACTCATCAGAGGCTTTTACACAAAAAGCTCGAGCTTGAGTGCACACTGTTGTTTAACCGCCCTGTCATGTTCAGCTGTGCAGAACATCAATAATATTGCTGGGTCATATTGAGCTGATGCATGTTTTGATGCCGTTTTTGATATTACTGTCCCCTTGGAGTTGATGACTGTGGGACAGTACCCTCATCATGATTAGAATGACCGTCTTCATTTTCAGACACTTCCTCTTCTCCTTTTCTATTGTTGTCAAGGATGTATTCCAGAGCCTCCTATGCTGTCTGTTTTCTGCTCATATTGCTCATCTTTTCAACTTCTGAGAGAGTACATTTGCATAATTTAGGTGGCTCTATAGGGCTATATAGGACGTTATGTGTGTAATATAAACATGTAATGTAAACAGTGTAAACACAAACATGTTGCTAACATGTTTACATGTTCATTACACTAATTAAGCCCAGGAGACAATGATTTAAACGGGTCAATTTGAACTGCAACGTAACAAGAGAGTCAAAGCAAAAGGGACGCATACCAAACGAAATTCTGAAATTCATGGTGAATTTAAGAGATTCTATTTTTTACCCAATATGTTATGTTCTTAATATTATGGTAAAGAAAAACTTTATAGTAAAGTGGAAAATAATACAAAACGTTTGCACTTTCACAAGTGTTCTCAGACTTTTGAACCCCATTGTATGGAACTACCTAGTAAGATTTTTCTAAGCCTAACCTTAACCTTATATTCAGTTTTAAAAAAAAAAAAATAAAGCACTTTACAAAGTTATGTTTATTTTGCTGGTCCTGACCCTGTAGATTTCCCCTGTTTTCCTTTATTTTTCCTTCAAAGTCTGAACATTTTTGTCTTGTAATTGCACAAAAACAAACACACACACTACGCTGTCCTGCTTTTCTGTGCTGGTGGAGCTGGCATTATTACTTGTCACATGATGGAGCTGTTCCAGGAAGAGTAGGCACAGAGGGGTGGCTGCTGTCTGCAGTCTGTCTAGCCTTTCTGCATTTATCTGCATCTCTGTGCTGCGGCACTGTGGCCCACTCTCTAAACGCCCATTTGCCTGCTCTGTAGTGCTTGGAGCTCTTTCAGTGAGAGTGTTGGGAGGAAAAAGAGTGTGAGCTTTTGAAAGCTGAAGCTCTGACTGTGTGAAAGTCTTCTGGTGTTCATTAGGCAGTCTCAAAAGGGAAGCTTTTAGCTGCAGCTGTTGTTGATGCCTGGGTCACGTTGCTTAATTTGTGTCAGATGCTTTTAAATATTTTGGATACGTATTGTGGTGTTTTCTTTGCTACATGCTGTGAATCTTTTCCTGAAATAAGCTTTGGAATGAGTTACGAAACGGTTTTTCTCTAACTGAAATTTCTCATTATTACATTTCTAGCCTCCTTCTTGAGATTGTGAATCACCTGTCTTTGATTTTAAAAGCACAGACTAACATTCAAATATTTCTCTTTACAGTGTCAGTGCAGGAGAGTCTGGAGAGGAAGTTCGGGAAGCATGGTGGATCCATACCTGTTGTCCCCACCTCTGAATTCCAGGCCAGGATTGCTGTGAGTGCACAAACGTACTTTATACATATGCACACATAATGCATGTGGTTATTATAGTTTTTATTATAGTTTGTCCTCCACTTCTCTACCTTCACATTAGAACTGTGTTTGAATAGCTCAGGTGTGTCCAATGCACCCTGGGGCTGGAACAGGAGCTAGATGTGCAACACAGTTCTGAGATTCCAGTCGTTTTGAGAAGAACGTTGCACAGTTCACTGTTTTCCTTGCTCCAACCCTGTGGATTCAACTAATCAGTTACTTATCAAGTTTGAACGCAAGGTTCCCACAGATCCTTTAAGGGTCTTATAAAGTTTTAAAATAATGTTGAAAATTTAAGTCGAAAGATTTCTGGAAAATGTCTTATTTTTACCTGATATAGACATTAAATCTAGACATGTCTCATCCCAACACATTTTAATGGAACAGGTATTGGCAAAAATAAGCTCAGATCCTTTGCTTTATTTTTATGCTTGTTATAGAGGAGCATAGACGGACATTATCCACAACCTGCAGCTGTGCCACTTATAACTTCTCTAGCTAGGGGTTGAGGCGTAGTAATTTGTTTTGGAAAACTTTCTATCAAACTGAGCGAAACCGATCTACGGCCACTGAGCACTTTTTTAGGAACACCTATACATCTACTCATTTGTGCAAGTATTTGATCAGCCAATCATGTGGCAGCAGTGCAATGCATAAAATCATGCAGATGCAGGCCAGCAGCTTCATGTAACCTGCACATGAACCATCAGAATGGGGGAAAAAAAATTTCTTAGTGATTTAGACCATGGCATGATTGTTGGTGCCAGATGGGATGGTCTGATTATTTTTATTACTGCTGATCTCTTGGGATTTTCACACACAACAGTCTCTAGAGTCTACTCACTTGTTGATGAGAGAGGTCAACAGAGAATGACCAAACTGGTTCAAGCTGACAGAAAGGCAACGGTAACTCAGATCACTACTCTCTCTACAATTGTGGTGAGCAGAAAAGCATCTCAGAATGCACAAAACGTCAAACTGTGAGTCGGATGGGCTACAACAGCAGGAGACTACATCAGGTTCCACTTCTATCAGCCAAGAACAGAAAGCTGAGGCGCAGTGGGCACAGGCTCCCCAAAACTGGACAGTTGAGGACTCAAAAAATGTAGCTCAGTCTGATGAATCTTGATTTCTGCTGAGGCATACAGATAGAAGGATCAGAATTTGGCGACAACTGCATGAATCCTTAGACCCAACTTGCCTTGTATGAACAGTCCAGGCTGGTGGAGGTGGTGTAATGGTGTGGGGAAATGTTCTTGACGCATTGGGCCTGTTAATACAAATCAGTCATCACCACAGCCTACTTGAGTATTGTTGCTGACCATGTGCATCCCTTCATGGCCACAGTTTACCCATCTGTCATATGTATGTCATTTATATTTAGAGCTCCATAGAGTTAAGACACTTTAACACAGAGAATATTGAATCCTCAGAATCGAAAATCAAATTGAAAAAGAAAATGCGTGAATCGTTACACCCTTAGTGTGCTTACACTGTAAGCTGTGCACATGGTGCAAACATTAACATATAAACACAAGGCACATAGTTAGGCACTCATTTACTGTATAAAAAAATGCATTATGTCGAGACACCACAATATCGTTTTGAACTGAATTTTTAATTTTGTGGATGATCACACACCTACTGACTACTGTATCAGTCAGTCTTATCCATCATTGATTTAAAGGCCGATTTATTATGGTAATTCGTGGGTTTGTCTCCTTTTTTCACTGTTGTGTTCGAAATTGGTTACAGGGAGCGTCTGAGAAGGACATTGTGCATTCTGGACTTGCTTACACCATGGAGCGCTCTGCCAGGGTTAGTAGATAATAATGTTGTTTTGACATTTATTGTGCCATTATAGTAAATTGTGCTTTCTTTAAGCTCGTAGTCATACCAGTGGTTTGGATCTGTGTGTGTTGTTTTGTGACTTTAAGCTTGGGGACTTTTTTGATTTGCCTTAGTTATTAATTTATTGAAATGAGTAAGAAGACATTTTTAGTTATGTACAAAGTTTAACTTTATTTTTCTTTCCAGCAAATCATGCGCACTGCCAACAAGTACAACCTGGGGCTGGACCTGCGGACAGCAGCCTACGTCAACGCCATTGAGAAAGTCTTTAAAGTGTACAATGAGGCTGGCCTCACTTTTACATAAGCAGCTGTCTCGGTGCATCTGCATGTCTTTATGTCTGTCTGTCCATATGTACAAACTGTCTACATCTCACCTGACTCTTCCCAAGCCAAATACCACCTTCACATCTTAAGAGTTTACATTACATATATTAGTATGTACTGTTTATATACGCACACAGCTTTAGCCTCATTTACTTATTTTATTATCGAAAGTTACTCACGGCTTTTATCCAAGCCGTAAAGTCAAAGCTGCTTTTCTCTCTCATGATGCTGTCACCACTACCCTAGTCTGACTGTAATACCTTGACAAAAAACACCAAAAATGGCTAGTTTTTGTACCTTATAATGCACCTTTTTATTTTACACTGTATTCTGTGGGGTTGTATTCAGAGGAGTCTTAACACCAGCTGTTTGAGCATATCAGATACAAAGACCTGTTAAGCCTTAATGTCGCAGCAGCACTCTGTAAAGCACTAGTGCTTCTGTTTTCCACGTCTTTGTGTTTTCAGCACTCACCCAAAAAGTGTCATGCAAATAGTCAACAAGGAGGGCAAATGCATGAAAGATGACTTACTCAGGCTTTTCATATGTTACCAAAGTTGCGCAGAAACATATTTATCTTCACCCTGATGGCTTAATCACTTTATTATCAGAATAAAATTGAATTATGGTGCTCTTTTGCCTAACAGGGAGCTGATCATCTCTTTATCCAAATGCTTCCGTTCTTAATGGTGTGGACCAGGTCTTAATGATTAATGTGCTGAATTTATGCAACTTGTATGTATTTGGAAGGGATTATATTTGGGAACAAAGGGTTTATTTCTGTGTCAGGTTAGCACTGAGTGTGAAAGAGTTCTTGGATTAATTTGGACAGAGGGGGAGAGTTTATATGGCCTTGTTTAAGATAAAATAAAATCAAATTTAAACACAACTATTTTGTGTCCTAAGTGACAGAGTAATGGCTTCTTTCATCTGGAATGAGGATGCGTACTGAGCATGAAGAAACTGGCCAAAGCAGCCAGTGTCTGTTTTAAACTATTTCTAGGGGTGCTGATGATTGTGCCACATGGTTTTGTTTAAATATATATATATATATATGAGTCAGTGTGAGATTAAGCTAATTCACGAAAAAGTGAATTTCTTAAAAAAACATTTTACTCGTCTTTACAAGGGGGTGGCAATAATTGTGGAGGGGACTGTATATAAATTTAAGAATTTTATTTAATTTTATTTAAAATTAAGAATTTTATTTGATGTCCATGTTGGCTGCAAATGAAAGGATGGTCTTTGACTTTTGCGCAGTAAATGAAAAAACACAGAACTAGTACACATTTGCAAATCTTTTGCAGTGTTTATTAAGGTTTTTAATATTTAGACTACAAAAATATGTTACTATTTTTCCTTGAATCATTGTTGACATTGTTACAAGTGACCCATTAATATTGGTAGATTGGTATATAATTTTTGATTAGCTTATCTTCATTTTCTGTGCCTTCATATATACAACAACCCACACACCAGTCTGGCATATGTTGCATTGCAAAACAGGAATACAAAAAAGGTTTTCTTTGTTATATTAAGTATGTAAAAAAAAAAAAGCTGAGGTTGAATAATGGCAATAGTTGTCTCTTGGTGACAGGTGGACATATGGATGAATGACTGTCTTCTGTTACTCCCCTCTTCTGCTTAGAAATTAGCGAGATCGTCTACAGCAGAATTGAAATCTGAGCCTGGAAGTAAAACACACATTTGTGTTATGATTAAACAGCTCTGTAAACAGAACGACTACAAACACTGACTGAAGTGAGTAGTAAACAAGTATTCTACTTTGTATGGCTTAGTTTTAAAGCAGCACTATGTAATATTTGGGGATTTGGAGACCTCTCTGGTGGAAATTTGTAATTGTATGCAACGTATTTTAGGGCATCTTGTATCGTCAGTTGTGCTTCAAGCGGATGACTGATGATTGTGAGCGAGTTGAAAGAGTATTCAAAGAGAACTCGGTCAAAACTGCAGGATGTGTTTTCTGAGGATGAAAGTGAATGATCTACTGGTGACATCATATCTTAATGAGTATAATGTTGATTTAGCATTTAAGACATAAGCATCGAGCCGGACCTTCTTTCTGAGTCTGTGCGTGACGTTAATACGTAAAGACGCATGACGCGGTTTGAAAAACTTCTAAATCCGCCCTGACGCCTCTGACTTACTTCATTATATCAGGCTGTATATACTAAGAGCAGCTCACGTTCATAATGTTTTAATGTGTGTTTTTTCTCCTGACTCAGTAATGCTACCAACAAAAAACTTACATAGTCCTGCTTTAAGCTAAACAGTGGTTCTCCATCATAACTACTAAAAGATGCATTTCTCGCTCTACTTGTTTCTAACACACCTGATCCACTCTATGAGCTCAGAGTCAGATGAGTTAGACACAGAAATATGCAGTGTGCAGCACCACTGTCACGTGCTCAGTTAATGGCTTAAACTGCAGGCCTTTTATTCAGTTGTTAGTCTTAATGGGGAACTCCACCAGTTTTTCAAAAAATTCTACATAATTAAATGGTTGAGATAGTCATTCAAAGTGGTTTGGTGTTAAACGCTCTGCTCTACAGTAACTTACCAAATTAGAATTGTTCACAGTGGTGGTGATAGAAACCAGACGTCTGAAGAGTTTCATGTGTCTGAACCCTCCCTCAAAGAATGAGTACACTGTAAGTTATGAGTATGTGAGCCTGATGTCTGAGACATTGTTTTATGATAGTTTTGTGATAAAGTTTTAGCTTAAAATGTATTTCACTTATTTTAAGCAGTTCAGAGTGGAGATGTTCACACAGGGTGTTGTAAGGCAAATAAAACTTATTTTTTCATTTTACCATCACAAACATTACATATAAAATTCAGAAAATACATGTAGTTTCTCTGATGGGTCTGGATAGTTAATAAAACAGCTATATTTCAGTTGTAGACATTGTGACACCTGGTTCCTATCACCACCACTATAAAGAATTCTGAGTCTAAGTTTCTCTACAATGAACCACTTCACATCAATGAGTCAATTTGTTTACATCTCAAGGACTAAATTATGCAGACAATTTTGGTGGGATGAGGCTTATTATACAGTAACTACTGCGAGTACTATGTAAGTTATGTGGTAATGACAGTGAGGAACTGGAGAGTGGAGCCACCTAGAGGCAGTTGGAGTTTAAGGTATGAATGTAATGTGTATATATATGAATAAGAGGTAAAGCAGCTTACTTTCTGCTCCTCCGCTCGCTTCGCTTTTTGGCCCTTCCATTGGTGGAGATTTGAGCATGTCAAACAGTCCTCCTTTTGACTTTTCTCCCTTGTTGCTCTTGTCGCCTCCGTCTCCTGCGGAGGGGAAGAGGCCTCCTATTCCTCCCCCAGACTTGCCTCCCCCAGACTTGCTCTTTCCATCTCCTCCTCCCAACATAGATTTTACCTTCACTTTAGCTACCGAAGCTGGAGAAAGAAAAAGATAGAAAAGTCATAGAGTTTCTCAATTGCTTTAATTTAGTCAAGAACAAGTTGCAAATTAATATAGCTTTATGATCTGTTATTATATACAGCATCTTTGATTTACATTCATTCATGTTTGTTATCAGACATTGACATTATTCTTTAAAAGAGACTTAAAACAAAAGGTTAACAGAAGCAAAGCTGGAATCCGAAGAGGTCTATTTTTTTTCTTCAAGGCTGGTTGCACCAACAGGTCTTAACTAAGACGGTCTTTACTGCTAAGTTGGTTGTAGCTATTTTACATTTGTTGAACCGACCAAAGTTACACTGACTGAGGGACATTTTGGAAAACCAAAAATGCAGCAAGCAGCCCAAGCAGCTAAGGATTAGTAATCTTCACATCATTTTTTAAATAAATACCCATTTAGAGAACTATTTCTTACATAGAGCACTCACACATTTTAAGACATCCTTTAAGAAATAGAAAACTCCAGAAATATTTTCTTAGCAGGACTGTATAAAAGATGGCATGGATACTTGTATACAGACTAAAGTAAAGAGTACAGCACAAAAAAAGAGTTTGTTTTGCCATCTTTGTGGTGTATTTGTGTTGCCTACACTGTATAAAAAATCACTGTCAAAGTGTCATACAATTTCGTAGTTAATACTCATTTTGGGGCAAAAGGTTCAACTTTATTTTTTTGTTTTTGGTTGTACTTAAACTTTATTTAACTAAGAAGTCCCATGAGTTTCATATTTCTTTTTTTTGGAGACCTGGCCAAGATAGCGCCCCATTTCCAGTTATTAGGAATAATAAATTGAAGCATTACAAAACATGCAGGTAAATAAACCATACACATACTGTCTTTTAACACTGCTGTTGTTAATTTACAGAAATAGAATGTATATTCACAAAAACAAATAATCACCTTTATTTAATAAACATTTGCGTTTATTTTAATGGTTCTTACTGTTATTATTATGGTAAAATACTGTCTAGTGAAATGTTGAATTACAGTTAAAGGACAGATTTTCTAAGAAATTCAATGACTAATTACAGAATTTTGCTATAACTGAGAAAATATACTTTCATGTTTTGTCTGGAAACCCTGCTGCTGGACTTTTTACTGCTTTCTTTTTACAGATTTTTTTGTGGTATGACTAGATAAATGCTGTTGTGCTACACCCAAACCAACCCTAACCTTAACCTCAGGAACCAAAAACAAGTCTTTCTGCACTTTTACTTTAGAAAAGAAAAGAAAAGAAAAGAAAAGTAAAATGAATGCTAACTTTTTTAAAATATAAAAATCCTCATGGAGATCAGCGCTGTGTCCTTTCTCTCTGTCTGGAGGCGTAAAGCACTAATCACACAAACACAAGCTTAAGTTAAGTTTTAGAGTTATTTCTGTTCCTCTGCTCTGATATCAACCTGCACAATCACTCACCTGCTTTGTCAACTGCAGTGTCAACGATGTGATTAAAAGACATGCTGTTTACAGATGCTCAGTCCTCAGTCCTCAGTGTGTTTGTGAGAGTGTGTGTTGGGGGCACAGGTGAGCACAGACGCTTATGTAGGCTTACGCTTGCACCTGGAGCTGTGAGCTCATTGGCTGGTTTGCTGAGGGGTGGAGTGGAGGACAGGAGCAGGCTTTTCTTAGCAGGACAGGCTGGACTGGTTTCACAGGTTACTTCTGTCTCAGTATCAAGCTATTTATGAAGTTCACTTTTGTTTGAAGCCAGGACTAGAATCATCACAACAACAAACCTGTAGCCCCAGTACTGTCACTAGAGCGGGTGAGGACATTTTTCACTCCTGAACATCCACCCATCTGGAGACTGAGCTATAATATACCATAAATAATATACTGAAAAGGTTTGTTGTATTGTTTAAGATTGGAGTCAAGAAGCCTTTGTTCACGGGTTTCAATACATGTAATTGGCCTATTAGCCTCCGAAATGACTCAGCTTTTAATAATAATGGGCGTAAATATAAACTCAAACCAAACTAGTTTTAGTGTGTTCCTAATGGTGGATTTTCGATGTGGAGATCTGAACACTGTCATGATTTGTCAATCACTCAGACCCATTCATAAAATCACAGGAACAAAAAACTTGTTGCCAAGTTTACGGTTTTGTTTTTGTTTGTATTTTGGTGAGTGTGTATCTGGCGCTGTTCCAGCTGGGTGGAAGATGACATCTTGGCAGGCCACTCCGTTTCCTCCCTTAGCTGGAATGTTCAGATTTTCCCTTTCAGATCAAGCTCCACCCTGTAAAGTGCACATCACACATCTCAACCCCTCAGCAGTCTTAATACTAAGAAACTATTTAGAAACCTACAGGTTCATGCTGAGTGTGCTGTATATATACTAAACCTACTGTATGAATAAATAAACTGTTATGCTTTTTCTTGTGTGCTGTGGCATGTTCAGTGGTAAGAACAGGACAGTAAATCATCAGGTGAGGGAGTGGGTAGTAAAGCAGCCCTTAGGGCAGGGAGTCTCTATGGTCTAGTTTTCAGCATTTATCGGTCACTCCTCCTTCAGGTTTCACTGAATTAAAGTGAAACTGAACTCTGTGTGCTGAGCCTTTGTCTGTAAAGAGCGAGGAGTGACAATGTATAGACACCCAGTTTGAGTTTAGGCTTGGTGTGGTCTTCAGTTAATTGGTTTTCTTTGACAGTGATCCAGATATTTACACAAGCTCTCCTGCGTGAGGGATGAAGATCTATTGGCCAACTACAGTTCTGTTCAGAAAACATTGTAGATCAAAACCTTCTCAAAACTATCATACAACATCTAAGACAACAGACAGTGTATTCATAACCATTTAATGTAATGACTTTCTCTGAGGCAGCTTTTGAAGGCAGACATTTGGTTCCTATTGCCACCACTGTGAAGAATTCAGACTTTCAAGTTTTTAATGGAGCAATTCACATCAAACCACTCAAAATGACTTTGTTTACGTCTTAACCATTTAACTGTTGTAAAATTTTTTGAAAACTTGGTGGAATTCCCCTGTAAGTGCTTTTGAGCATCTGCTTTTTCTATTCATTTCGTTGTGAGCATCTTTTAAAGCAAGTTCAAATGAATTGTATGAAAGTTTCCTTTCTGTGGGTTTATTACAATCAATTATTTAAAGAAAAAGACTGGAGGGCATTTTGGTTTTTAACAAAACATGTATTTGAGTCGTAGAATTCATAAAAAACAAAAAGACAGCCTGAAGGTGAGTTTACAGATGGTGAGTCACTGCAGTCATGATCAGTTTGTGTATTGTGTCTAAGGCAACATGCATTGCTTCTGCACAACTTGTCCCATTCTCAGTATTTCATGTCTTTCTGTCTTCAGAAGCAGAAGGGCTAGCAGGCTGTTTTGTATTTTAGTAAGCTGAGTAGCTTTAGGAGCCAGACTAAAACTGTATTTAAAAAAAAAAACAGTTACAGATAATACTGATCATTGTCAACCCAACTCAATAGCATTGCTTGTCCTAGAGCAGCTACAACAAACTGAGCCCATCATTATCAGTGTTTTACACACTCTCCCCATTGTTGCGGTCCAGTCTTGCGTTCTGTGCAGTCAGAAAAACACTGTGAGTGTATTAATTACTTCAAATGAGGCATTTTAACTGGAATGTTGCTGTGCCTTCATTTACACTCCAATCCAAAAGCCTGATGTCATATTTTGGTAGCTGCATAACATTACATAACCATGCCATTAACCTGTCATTTTAGATGCAATATGCTGTCATAACAGATTATGCCCAATAACATACCAGTTTTATGTTATCATCAAAGAGGAATTCTGCTGATTTTTAAAATTTTCTGCATATTTCGAGCATTGAGATGTGAACAGAGTCATTCAGAGAGGTTTGATATGTAGTGTTTAGATAAGTAGTGTTTAGATTAGTGTTTAGTGTTCAGATTTCTTTACAGTGTTGCTGATAGGAACCAGGTGTCACCATGTCTTCATCACAAATACAGCAATTTTATTTACTATCCAAAACCACCAGTGAACACAGATGTGTCGGAAGTTTTATTATGTGATATTGATGAAAAGTAAAACAGTGGCAAATCTGAAAAAAAGGAAAGTTTTATTTGGGGACTATTTTGCATTATAACGTCCTGCTTGTACCTCGCTGCCAGAAAAACCTCATAAATCTCAAAACTATTGTAAAACAATATCTCAGGTATCAGGCAGCATATTCATAACCATACTATTTAAAATCTACATACTGTCTGTGAGGGAGCTTTTAGAGGCATTAAACTCTTCAGACGTCCCACCACCGCCAGTGTGAACGATTCTGACTCTGTAAGTTTCTCTAGAGCAGAGAATTTCACATCAAACCACTCTGAATGACTGTTTACATCTCAACCATTTAATTCAGCAAATGGTTTTGTGAAAAATCAGTGGAATCCCCCCTTTTGAAGACTTATGTTGTAATGTTGGCTAACTGGGGAACACAGTAAAAAAATGCATGGGACACAATCTGTCATGATATCAAACATTATGTCATGACAATTACTAGTAATGGTAACATTACACTGTTATTTTACTGAACAAAATCTGTCATGACAGCGTTATCATCACAGTCCAAAAAAATAAAGTTTTTTCAATTTTTTATTATCATTTGAGCTCAGCAGTTGCCTTTTCTACTGTGTGAAAATTTCAAGATAACGGCCCAATAGAAATGCTCAAAAACTGCTTGGAATAAAATCTCTTTACATTAACTTACATTAAAAGTAAAGGACGGTTTGGCCCTCTCTTATAAACGTATTATTTTAACACTTGTTTTTCTTTGGACAGCAATGATATGACATCTGCCATGACATGTTTATGGCATGATTATGTCACTGTTATGTATCAGGGTTCAAGTAACATGTTACCCATCTTTCTCTACAGTATCAGGCTCTAGAACACAGGGTTAGTATAACACACAGGCTCTTAAACTCAAGCTAATAATAAACACAGGTGTTATAATAATGCACAAACAGAGCTGAATCAGTAGGAAAGTTAGCTTATATGTATCTTTTTGAGTGTGGTATGTGTTTATATCTATGCTGATAGATGAGTATGAAGGACAGATCTCTAAGAGTTGGTCATTTAAGACCACGCTTTCACAAAAGATGAAGCGGGACAGATAAAGACCTCAGAGCTAGTTTGGTTTGGGGTTCTTGCTCATGTCTTGCTGTAGTTCAATTACCAACGTCTGTAAAAGTCTGACAACTGAAAAGGAGATAGGGAAATGGAGGGTGCATACAACAGACCTGCAAAGGTGGCCAAATGCCAGGAGGCGCTCTCCTACACATTGATCGTTATAGAACAATACTTCTCACAAACTCCAAAGGGATAAAACTGTTTATGGATCACTTTCAGAACTGTGTTTTTCAAGTCACATTAAAAAGCTTCAGAACGGACTATTGGCTCTGCGGTTGGAAGGGTCAGAATACAGGTAATGGTAAAGTGTGGACAGCAGTTAACATGGACACTCATATTGAACAGCCAGCAGACCATGTTTAGGAGGCATGGATCCTAGAGGCAACAACCCTGAAAAAAAGAGAAAACAGTGAAAAGGAGAATGAGATAACATGGCTCTTCCTGATTCAACTCCATTAAGAGTGCTTGTTTCCTCTCTTCTATGGTTGTCCACTTCTGATATTTTTTCATTCTTTCTCTTTATTTTCATCTTTGATCCTTCCTCCATCATCCTTCCTGACTAACACACCCTCTCCCTCTCTTTGCTTTCTTGCCTTCCCACCTCTCTGTTTGTCTCTCTTTCTTTGCTTTTATCTTTCTCCCCTGTTGCTTCTCCTCTACATCTCCCTCACCTACTGTCCTGCGTCTGTGGGCTGCTCTGCTGCTCCTTCGGTCTTGGAGACTTCTGCCTAAAGAGTGAAAAAGAACAAGAAATGAAATGTCGAGTTACTTCTTGCCTTGTCACAGTCTGTAGCCCCTTTAGGACCAGGTAGGCACAACATCACCAAGTTTCAAGAAGAAGGAACACTATGAGGTCTTAATGGCCTCTAATTTTTACATTTGTTATCCAGCAATACAGCCAAGTGCAGAAGTTTGGGCGCCTCTGGTCAAATTACATGTGGTGTTGATTTTCTAGGTGAAAGTGTCACAGAGAACATACTTCACACATTGTAATGCACAATTACTGTTTATTTGCTGAATTTAACATACTGGAAGAAATGAAACATAAACTGTGGCTTATAAAATGTTTTGGCTCGATTTATATTTTATGGGGTTTTTTTTCCAGTAAGTCAAACTCAGCAAATAAATATAAACTGAGCATTAGAAGTTGCCAAATAATGCCATATTTAAAGGATGTGTTAACTTATTTTAACTTAGAAAACAAACAAAAAAAATTATCTGACCAGTTCAAACTTTTGCAAACGACTGTATTATTTGGAATGAAAGTCATTCTTTAGGTTGCACTACAAAAATAATCTCTTGGCAAGTGACATCATCATAAATCTAGTCCAAAATATCTAATGTTTCTCACTCTAAGGTTGTACCATATTTCTATTTCTTATGACTTATTTCTAGACAGTTTTAAGTCATTTTATCTGATCAAATTATTTTATTCCCTTGGCAGATAATTGTGTATTATTTTGTAAAGCAAGCATTATTATCTGCATTATGTCTTAAAACAAGCACAACTATCTGCCAATAGAATAAGATCATATATTAAATAGACTCAAAAGCAAGTAAAAACATCTAGAAAAAAAATTTAATATACATTCTTATTACAATCTCATAATAGGAATTATTATAAAGCTGTATGATGTTTTCACTTGCCAAGAGAGCATTTTTTTGCAGTGTGTTATATATTTTATACATGTGTTTACCTGATTGGAAGAGAGACAATGTACAATGAAAATATGCAATGCAATATGGTCATAAAGTTACAGTGTCCATGGGCAGTTTGGTGTTAGTTGAATGAATATGCATGAGTTTGGAAGCAGGCAACCGTTAGAAATATAAATGCATTTCATATGGATAGGCATACAGATGAGAGCTTTGATGCAAATATAATAAGACCCTAAAGAAACACACAGTTTGGCTACAGCATAATAAACACACTTAAAATGAATGCTCCTAATTGGTTCTTAGGCTGAACATACAGTTCTAGGAAGAACCCTTGACTGGAATAGATCCTTTACATGGTGAGGTTCCTTGGTTCTTCACACTTCCATTTCATTTACAAATAACAATTGTTTGTCCATTGGGAAACTCTTTAGGGAACCAAAAACGGTTCTTCTGTGGCATTGCCCCAGAGAACCCCTTTTGGCACCTTTATTTTTAGAAATAAAATCTCTGATCTGTTTGGAAAATGCGATTCTCTTGAACTTACTACTCTCAGTGAGTGAAAATCCCTTACTGGCTATTATACTCTCTTTCTCTCGGGCTCTGATGCCATAAAGGCATATTGTTGCTTCATCACAGGTGGATGGATTCCTTTCATCCTAATCCTGTACTGATCACTGATATTAAGCCACCAAACTGGATCTTACAAAAGCAGAGCCAGATTCATGAAGCAAGGCTTTCTTCAGTGCTGGCAGGACTCCCTCTAATTACACTGCCAATAGTCACCCTTGTCCCAGTAATCCTGTCAGGTCAGACTGAGAACCCAGACTGCAGCCTGGGAGACACAAGGGGAATTTTAAAATGGTCCTTGTTGCTCCATGAGATCATCCGACTAAAATCATGTCATTTTATTGGAAAAAATTGGTCTTCATTGCTCAACAGCCTTGTACAAAGTTTGGGCAGATTTGGACGCATATGTCAGTTCAGGCCTTTACATCTTCATTTAAATGTATGAAATGGTTTTATGTTTGAAGTATATCAGAGCAAGCATAAGGTCATGCTTGATATTTGAGCTCATGCTAGCACCTCAGTGTCCAGCTGTTCATCCTATCCACATTCACACATGAGGAAAACAAGTCAATATTAGAACACTGTCATTAACATTAACAGAGTCTTCATAATCCAAAAGAAAATGCAACAATTTTACAGTTTCACACTTTTTTGACAGAGAATTATTGTTATTAGATTCCAGTTTTAATCTTTTGTAACAGAGAAATAGGGTTATTATGTGTGTCTTTACCGGGTTGACCAGTCCAGTAGACGCTACCACACTCTCCAGACCCTCCTCAGCCTTCTCTGATACCTGGTTGGCTCCGGCTACTGCTGACTCCCCCACAAGATTGGCCTGCTCAGTTGTCTTCTGGGCAACTAGAGACATTGCATATTTTCTGTGTTTAGAATTCAAAACAAAAAGCTACATGTATAGAGATGTAAAAGTGTGCTGCTTTACGTGGTCTTTTTCACCTGTGTTCACACTTGAGACCACACCTTCCTTTGTCTTTGTACCTACGAGAAAGGATAAAAAGGTTAAACTGGTAAATCCTAGTAAAGCATGTTAACATCGACAAAACCTTCAAAATGACAGAACTTCTTGTTTAGCCGTTCACTTAAGCATTTTGCTTGTATTTTGCCTTAAACTGAGATGCACTTTGGGATTTTTTGGTGATGTATTAGGGTTCTTTATCCTCTTATCTACGCTCTACTGCAGCCCTCTGCTCTGGAGTTCATGCCCAGGCCGGCTTACAAAGGCGCCTACAGGTGAGAAGGATCAGTCATGCTCTTCCTTCACCTTCAGAGCCCCAGATGTGAACCACCATATTGGTTCAACTGCGCTAAGATAATATATAGAATATCTATTATTTAGAATGAAAGTATGTGCACATTTCTTGGCCAGTATAAAATTCTTGGTCTTGAAAAGCTCAGTGTATTGTTTTAACCATCCATATTCAACTACTAATTTAAAAATAACTCTGAATCTGACTGAAATATATCAAATCAAATAATGGCGAATTATGGCTTCCTAAAGAATCTTAACTGCATTGACTCGAGGATAGAAAGAGATTTAAATCCCTGATCTGGTCCACTCTGAACAAAACCCACTCTGAACAGCCCCCCTGGCATCTCAAGCATGGTCCATCTGTCAGACGCACTCCTCAAGTAAAGCTTTGTCCTCATTCACTAGAACAATGAGCTGATTTAACATCAAAACATGCGCATTCCTGAGAGCCTGGAGAGAAACAGGGCGGCTTGGACTTTTATGTGGTTTATAGAAACAAACCATGATAACACAGGGTAGTCCACTGGAGCTGCAGCAGAGTGGTGTCACTTGTGAAGCTCTCTGAGGCCTCATTAATTCAGATGGCACAACACTGTGAGCCACAGCCTATCTAAAAGATAAAATGGAGGGGATGGTATCTTGCTAAATATAGTTCATCCAAAGCTACAGGGGGCCTTGAGCCTGGTCACTGTAACTATTTTGGACGGAACAAATCCATTTTTTACTGAATCAGAGCAAATTTATAGAGGAAAAAAAGCATTGTTTTATGAAGAAAGATGTCAACTCTCAATCTTTGACAAAGCTGACCTTAATATGCTGACCTTGAAATAATGTTTTATTGTGTATGAAATGTGTATGATTTACAAAATCTGAAGCAAACTGAATTTCCACCTTCATGGGTGAGCAAGCAGGTCAACCTGTTTTAAATGAAAAACAACACAAAGACAAGATATTTAAAATTCTACCTTATCATCATTGTTTGTTCTTTGTAAATATGTGCTCATTCTGAAATTGATTGGGACAGGGGCAATTTAGGACTAGGAATGTGTCGAAAAAAAAACATCTTAAACAGGTGATGCACTCATTACGCAATCATGCTTAGGTACAGAAGGAGCATCCAGGAAAGGCCTTTTCCTTTATGAGCAAGGATGGGATCGAGACTTGCAACTTTGCCAAAAAAATAGAAAAAACAGAATAATACAGCTGTTTAAGAACAGCGTTCCTCAACAAGCAATTGCAAGACTTTAAGTATTTCACCCTCTGTAGAGCATAATATCATTAAAAGATTTGGGAAATCCAGAGAAATCTGTATGCGTAAAGGGCAACTGAATGTCCGCAACCTTCAGTCATTAAATTTGGTGCATTAAAACCGACATGCTTTTGTGACTTATATCACTGAGTGGGCTCGGGAATACTTTAACAAAAGTACTTTGTCAGTAAATACAGTTCGTCTCTGCATCCACAAATGCAAGTTAAGACTATACTATGCATAGTGGAAGCCATACACTGTAAAAAATGGCTCGTCAGTTCTACCTAAAAAAAAAAATGACCATGGGGTAGCAAGTAAATTAACTAGTTTTATTCAATCTAAATAAATACTTTGAATTAATAATTCTTTCAATCAAAGTAATTTTTAGTTGAATAAAACTAGTTCAATTGCTTGTTTCAACATGAAGTAATTTTTTTAGGTAGAACTGATGAGCCATTTATACAGTGTATATCAACAGCATCCAAAAACACTGCTGAAATCTCTGGGCTCAAGCTCATCTGAAATGGACTGATTCACAGTGGAAACATGCATTGTCAGATTATTTATGGAAATAATGAACATCATGTTCTCTGGGCCAAAGAAGAAATGGACCATCCAAAAATGTAAAAAAAAAAAAGAAAAAAGTGGCTTGTCAGATCAACCTAAAAAAGTACTTCATGTAGTAACAAGCAATTAAACTAGTTTTATTCAACTCAAAAATTACATTGAGAAAAATCATTTAAAAATGCATTCAAGTTCATTCAAAGTATTTTTTAGGTTGAATAAAACTGGTTGATTTATTTGTTTTCACATTAAATAATTTTTAGGTTGATCTGATGAGCCATTTTTTACAGTGTATGGGGGTGTATTGATGCCCATGGCAGGGTCAATAATGCTGAAAGATATATACACATTTTGGATCAACATAAGGCCAAAGTGCCAAGGGATGTCCATGCTTATTTCAACATGACAACAGCAAGCCACATTCTGCACATATTACAACAGCATGGCTGCGTAATTAGTCGCAGCAGAATTAGCACTAGTAATTAGTGCAGATGGTTGACTGACCTGTTTGTAGTCCAGACCTGTTTGCTTATTGACGAAGAAGTGCAAAATACAACAGTGAAGGCTTTGCACGGTTGCACAGCTGAAGACTTCTCAAAAAAATTACCCTTCAAAACGAGACCAGTTGGTGTCTTCACTCGTGACATGATTATGATTATGAGAGCTAGTTAAGTGTTTTTAAAAGGAAAGGTGATGTAACACAGTGTTAAACATGCTCCTGTGCCAACTTTGTTTGGAATGTGTGGCAGCCATCAAATTAGGAATGAGCACATATACAAACAAAAGGTGAAACATCAGATCTCATGTTTTTTAATTTAATACGGTCAAATGAAATTTACCATTTACTACTTCCTCTTTTTTTAGCATTTCACCTACTGTCCCAAATTTTGAAACTGAAGTTTGTATAAAAGTGTTTTTATTGTGTTTAAATGCTATTGTGGAAAGTTGGGGCTGTGCCTTCAACTTATGGTGGTAGTATGAGGGAAGACTGATTGAGGAAGGGGAAACAACTCTGAGAACTTGGGAAGTTCTGGCCTGAAGCCAGAAAGCTGGACCCCTTTTTAAACTGTGGTAGTATTGATTTAGGCCTGAGGAACTGAGGAGATGGGGCAGGGGTGGGGATTGTGAAAGTTTTGTCATATTACAGATCATTAGATTGGAAGGAGAAGGGGTTTTGTCCCCTTTCACACCTCACATTTCTCACTGGCAGCTCAACACAGGGCCTCAACATTTCACACAGAGATCCAACAGTTTCTTAGTTAATCTGATAACATCTTATTTGATTAAATAAATGAAAAATATCCATTGTACCAGTAGTGGGGCTGCAGAAAGAGACTATCTATGAAAAAATGTAAATGAATGTGTGCATTTCTAATGAGGCATTAAAAATTATAAGCATTTGATGGTGTGTGAGTATGCATGTCATGCATGTAAGTTTGGGATGTTTAAAGGTACATGGTCTGAATTGTGGAAAACAGAAGCATAATATGATGTTTCTATCACTGCACATTACTGTCTGACCTCTGTTCTTTGATTGGGTAAGGCATGACGTGTGTGTGTATGGGCTAAAGCTTTTACCGCTTGCTCTAATGCACTCTCGGCACCACACACCCCTCCCCTCCTTACGGCCATCCCATCAGCCTACTGTTCTCTTCCCTCTGCTTCAACTGCTGGCTTTATGAAAGCCCACACAAACAGGTTAATCAATAAGGCAGGGGGGGCGGGCACATGTGACCCTGCAGGAACATGTGGTGCGCAAACACGTTGTGTGTTTGCAGCTGGAAGTGGATATCATCCTTGACATGATTCATGGCAATACAGCAGCAAACAAGAGTAGACAACAAGCTCATATTCTACACTGCTGGACAAAACACACCCTCAGCCATACCCACAATAATCTCTCAGATTGGAGTCAGCTGCAAGAATCAAAGAAATTCTCTCTCTCTCTCGCTCTCTCTTTCTCTCTCTCAGAGTGCAGACAGCATGTTCCTAAGTTGTGATGGCCATCGTGATTTGCCACTTCTGCCCTTTCTGCTCATTCCTTTCATGTCCCATGGCTGGGCAAAAGGCACAATGAGACATTGGCGTTTCATCACCTCTGCTGAACATTCTGCAAACTCATGACACTGTTATGACCTCAACATTTTAAGCCTAAAATAAAAAGAGGCCATGCTTAAAACCTAACCACCAGACCTGAACACAGGAGCACTAAGACAAAAAACACTGGATTCATTTTCTTTTCTATCCACTTAAATTAGTCATCATATATTTAATATGGTAGAAGAAATGCTTTGACTCAATGTCCAGTCCAATCAAGCACTGAGACATGAATAACTGCTATTTCTTTTCTATTGACTCAGAGAATATCGGTGTTTCATTATAAGGCCTCAAGAACACAGGATATGTGATATGTGAATTGTTAAAGGGGACATATCACGAAAATATAAACGCTTGCATTTCTTAAATTTGAGTTTCATCTGCTCTTAAAGTTTCTAAACATATCATACATACAGTTCATATCTGTAAACTAGGCTTCAAAAACAGCCCATTGTAAATTTGTCATGGTTGTGATGTCAGAACAATGAACACATTTACATGAGCTGGCCTGTAGCAGATTAACCTGAGAATTCATATACACCTTAAAAATAAAGGTTCTTGAATAGTTCTTGGCTTGGAAGGATAGTTCAACATTATGTCTAGTTTTTTTGGAAACCAAAGTGGTTCTTTTATGTTGTTACTCTAGAGAACCCTACAGACACCTTTATTTGTCAGAGCTGCACCATCCAAAGGATCTAGACATCCATAAGAAGCGGACAAAGTTTAAAATACAAGAAACTTGTAGACTATGGTGCCTTAAAGACAGGAAAATAAAATACAATTGAAGTCTAAGCCTTTCACTATTATTATAAAACAGCCTGATCACACATATTTGAGCTGATCACAATTGCTTTCCACAGTTAGCACATATGTGCATATGTTTTACATATGAAATGGGTGTTTTTATCTGTTGGATTGAGGCAAAAACAGCTCATTCTAAAATCGTCATGGTTGTGATGTCAGAACAATGAACACATTTTCATATTTAGCCTTCAGATCATTTTATCCATTTGTTTGAGGCCAGTGCATGTAAATACAAGAAAACAGAAAACGTTCTGACTGGTGTTATAACACCTTTAGAGGGCAGCGGTGAGTAATGTTTGTTTATTTGAGATTGAGCTGTTTCTGTCTACTAAGTATTGAGAGCTAGCTAATTAAGATTAATTAAGATCAATATTAATTAAGATTCATTATTAATCATCAGCTACAGTTGCATGATTGCACGGCCTATTGAGGACATTCCCCTGTTGTTTTAAATGTTCTGGTCACTGCTAGTTTATGAAGTGGCTGCGTCCTGGTCATTCTGGTATGAATTGATTGCATCCCTCTCTGTCTCCCCACCCACTGCGGTCAGTGAGAGTACAGACAGAGCCACAGGGCTGGACAGGGCGAGCATGATAAAATGACACAGGGGAACACATCAGGGGTTTTACACTGTCTGAATGTATCTGTCATACAGTCACTGCGGCTGATAAATGTGGCAGATAAAGCAGTGTGACGGGCAGCTGGTGGATGCTGGTTAGTCTACAGACCCTCCAGTGCTGCTCACATCAGGACTACGATCTGATAACACACACCAGCTCTGATGATGACATCAGCTTTGCTCCTGCCATGCTAACCTAAGAGGTATAAAAGAGTGAAACTGGAACTCTTCTGTTCTTTCTTCTTTATAAAAAATGGGCCTCAACTTCAGATTTCCTCCTGTTTTGTATATATGACATGCTCTGATTATGCATGGCTAAAACTGACATTTCTGGATGTTTTATTACTGGAAATGCAGGAAATTTCAGTCCGCAGCAAATTCTGCAAATGGAAAATTGCATAGAACTTCATATTTCATATTTCACATCATGATTTACTACTATTTACCCCTCTGTATTACAAATATAACCTTTTGAATTCTTAATATCTATAAACTGACATATTTAGCTCTCTAGGAATGCTTTTAATTTCTAACATCTACTCCTGAGACGTTTCAGGTACAGTAAATACTGTGTGACATTCCCTGCTCCTCTGTAACTGAAGCGTTCTGTACGTACCCACATACATGACCCCTTCTTTAGTTTTGGCAGCGGCTTCCTCCACCCCGGCCTTGGTCTTCTCGGCTGCTGCTACCACTCCCTCCTTAGCGATGGAGAATCCCTTCTTCAGAACATCCATCCTGACCACTTGGCTGGGCGGTGTCCTTCGCTGCCTGTGTCTTACAGCTGGTCACTGGAGCTGCGTGTGTGTCGGCCTGTTTGCTGGGCTGCTGGCAAGCGTGTGTGTGTGTGTCTGAGTGTGTGCAAGAGAGTGGCTCTTATGAAAGTGGGCCGGCGCTCACAGATTGAGACTCTCTTAACAAGGAGAGCAGTGGAGCTGATGAAAGAGAGAGAGAGAGAGAGAGAGAGAGAGAGAGAGAGAGAGAGAGAGAGAGAGAGCACAAATGGGGTTAAACAAGTGGGTGAATAAGGAATGTAGGGAAATGCAGACACTTGTAACAAATAGCAGTGAAAGTTAATTTAATTTTTAACGCATATATTTTTTTCATAAAACCTCAGAAGAAGTCTGTTGTTCATCTTTTCCCCTACACATTCTGAGAAAGCCTTCATACACACCCATAACCGATACGGACAGTTAAAGCCTGATGATCCCACCACAGTAACAGCAGCACTGCCCTGTTCATCAACTGAATAACTCTAGATAATTGTTTTGTGTGCTAATCCAAAAGCTGTCATCACAATGACAGGGTATATTCATATTTAATCTAAAACGGGCATGCAGAGCCTTATAGTTTCTTCCATTACTTTAATTAAATATAAGTGCTGAGCTGTAATGGACCACTGGAAGACATCTAAAAATTATATAGAGATGGATCTATTCACATGAAGGGTGGTCTCTGTGCACAGTACTCAGTATGGGTATCAGAGCTGAAAACACATTTTGGATTTTAAACTGACTTTAACTGACATTAGAATAAAACCCTTTAACTCTGAATGACCCTATAAATTAATCATGTTTATTTCATCAAAACAAACAATTAAACATTCCTTTTTTCCATTAACAAAACAATAATACCATCTCTTAAACTTTACCAAATGTTTCTGTACTTATAATTCTAACTAATTTTGAGCAGAACTCTAAAACTCTGGCCGGTTTCTGACTAACAAACACAGGTTTGAACAGTTACAAATAAAATCATAATATTTTTATTAAAACACTCAAATAAGTTAGTTAATTGTAGAAAATATGTGTTTTGGTAATGACAATTTTTAATGTTACACACTCATTTTCAGACTCTGGGACACATTTACTTCAAAACAATGAACTACTCAGCATGTGGCCATGAGGAACAGGGATACAGTCTCACTTCCTGCTCTAAAATGCAGGGATGTGGCTAAAATAAGGCTCCGCCTGTGGACTAAAACTCTTTGTGTTTCGGTAGTGACATAAAAACATGAGACAGCATTGTTAAAATTAAGTTTTTGTATTTTTAAAAATTGAATCCATGATACATCTAAATCTAAACTTCACTGTAAAAGAAATCAAAGACGGTTTTTTATTAAAATAATTTTTAAGGTGAAATAATAGGGGTCAGGGTCCAGGACAGCCACTTCCCAATAGAAAACACTCTATAAATGATGATTTTGTATATTGTTGCTGTCAAAAAAAAACCCTATCTCCATTTTTTCTGGTTTTTACTTTTCAACATCATTTGAGCAGACCAGCTGCCCTTTACATTGTGTAAAAATTTCATGATGACTGGACCAGTAGAAATGCTCCAAAACTGCTTGGAATGACATCTTTTTACATCAACTTTTATTTAAAGTGAAGAATGTTTTGCCTTCTCCTGTAAAGTTACTATTTTGGAGATATTTGTTTTGTTTAGACAGCGATGACATGTTTAGTTTATTACTATCTTAATTAATGCATTAGGTTTAGATAGACTGTAACATAGTTCTACTAAATATTTAGGGTCTGAATTCTTATTTTTTATTTAATTTCTAGTCAAAACATCCATTATGTACAAGTTATTCATGATGTTTTTGTGGAGATCAAATATAAAATAATCCAGAAAGTCATAGGAATATAAGTGAGAAAACAACCGTTTCCAAAAGTAGTTTCCAAATCTGAAAAAATCCAAGGCGTTTCTGTTCATCCTTCCTCTGTGAGAAGACAACTCAAACAGAAAATGTAACCAACTCCTAAGACTGAACTTTGGGGGTATGGAAAAATACCCCTGCAGATTTCTTTGAAAAATTAAAAAAGTCAGTCTCAAGTCTCAAGTATAGAAGCTGTAATGAAGGCAATGGGTGAACACACTAAACACTAAAAATGTGTATATTCTGTTTCATTGACGAGGCTTCTGTGTAATTTTCTGTTAAAGGTTTTCCTCGTATGTTTATGGGGTTCAGTCCTCCCATGTGTACAGAGCTGCAGAGAATGAGAACAGATCAGTCTCTAACTCTAATTCGCTATACAGGCCTGACACACAGCTTCCACTGAGTTTGCAGGCTTGGCTACACATGAAGCCTTTCACTGCAAAATGCAATAAAGACCATTTCCAAGACTTTTCATTTTTAGATGATATACATTGTTGGGAGTGGGCTTTCACATACAAGAAATATCAATGCTATATTATGATTAATACTTTATTGGAGAAATGTGAGAAATGTGAAAAAAAAGTGTTTTCTCTTTAACATCAGCTGTTACGTAATGGATATAGAGCATTTTGGAATTAATCTCTTAACATAGTGTTGTATTGCACTGTCCAAAAGAGCAGTGGGCCTGCTGCCTTTGACTAAATGGATTCAGTCAAGGAGACCTTTCCTTCACCCTGAGAGAGCAGCAGAGATACACGCTGTTCAGAAGGCTTATGATGTTTGCCTGCTTTTGATTCTGAGTATAAAGATACACAAGTGCTGAATGAAAGGATGATTTGTTTGAGTTATCATTCCTCTTAAGTGCAACAACTTGTCATATTTACTTTTTCTCCATAAGGTATACTTGTACCCGCTGCATCATTTTGTCCGCTGCATTAGATTGGAATATTTTCAGCAATGCCACCTGAGCTGACTCTGAAACGTCCACCCCTAGCCTTTAGCTGCTCTGCATCTCTGCCTCAGCCACGCCCTGTCCACACTAACTGGACGATGGCCAGCGCATGGCTATATATAGAGTGCTGCATTTGTCAGAACAATGAGAGAATGTAAACTGACACCAGCTTCTCTGAATTCAACAGGAATCTGGTCATCAGCTTCATGGAGAAGAGAGGCCCCAGCAATTTTCTAACCCTGCATGAAAACATCTAACAGAGCTGTGTGATAATCTCCCTCCATAGCCAGTGGCATGTCCAAACCAATTTTAGAGGGGGTGCCCAAATGGGGCACAGAACTGGTGGGATGGGGAGAGAGGAGTGGATCTATGAATTATGTAATTTGCCTTTTCAGGCAAAATTATGTTGTTTATAAAAAGTGAAAATGGCATTACTACATCACTATATTACTACGACTAGACATTCACATTTAAAAGGGTGGTATCCCAGGTGGTTGCTAATGTGCTGCTAGGCCATTGCTATGCTATCCCAGAAGGTTGCTAAGGTGTTGCTAGGCCATTGCTGTGGCATCCCAAGTGATTGCTAAAGTGTTGCTAGGCTGTTGCTATGATATCCTAAATGGTTGCTAAGGCTGTTACTATGGAATCCCAGGTGATTGCTAAGGTTCATTCATTTCCTATGGGAAAAATCATGTCTGAACAAATGCTGTATGAAAACCATTGTATGAATAGGTGTTTCCTGTCTATTCATCTTTTAATTCTAAACAATCTTGATGATTTGACCTCTTCGGGCTTTTGTTGAAATTACTACATAGATAAACAGGTGAGGATTAGCTGAAACATCACAAAAGAAAAGACAGTCTGGACATTTTATTGACCATTGGTTAGTTACGTTATACGTTTATACAGTAAACAATCTAAGCTGACTGATAGAGTCAAAGTTAGAAGTTGTGTTATAGCTCATTGTTACTGTTCTTGTCTACTGTTATGATTTGTTTACTGTCCTTTAAATTAATATGAAACTACATTTCACAATGTGGCTTCACCATTTTTGGATGCCAGCTCTCTTTCTGTCTCTGGAAATAACACACTTATATGTAAAACTTTATTGGCCCAGACAGTTCCAGGACTAATGACCTAATAACCTAATATAAAGTAACAAGATTTAGTAGGGGGCACTCGTGGTGGCCAAAGAAATTTCAGTTTCAAAGCTACCCCTAACCAGTCACAACCCCCCAAGGTAAAGCTTTGTGTGCTGGCTTGCTGTAAACATGTGAGACTGGCATAAGCTTGGTGGCACCCAACCAAGATTAATTCAAAGCGATAAAGCTGTGGTTTGTTGGCAGTTACAGCTCAGGCCTACTTTTTAAATCAGGTGACTATTTTGAAAGAAAAAAAAACAACTTTCTCAGTTCTCAGAAGCGTCTGTAGTCCAGTCCACACCTCGCAGTGTTTTTAATTCAACTCCATTTGAGAGAATAAAACGTTTAATGTGCTGTTTTGTGTAATGACTCGCTTCGTTTCACAGAAGCAAAACAACTCTCCAGCCAGCAAGACCATTCACCACGAAACACCTCAGAAATGTGGAAATAGAAAAAAAAGTCCCATTTTTTCCATTCTCAGCCTAACTGCCTCCCCGCCACACTCTCTTGTATTTTTACTTTTCTCTATATCTCATTTTCACATTTGCTCACAAGACTCTTAGGATGAAACTGTCTCAGATGTCTCATTATGTTCCATTAAATCTCTCACTCCTGCCCTCCCTTCATCCCTGACCGCGCAATAACAGGAATCTTTGTGACGGAGGGAATACATCAGCTGACTGCATTTACTGTAACAGTGTGGCAAGGCAGTGCAAAACGACATGGATCCATAACGTGCTCAGACGGAAAGCAGACATCAGCCTCTGACTGGCATAAGATCACTGAAGCGAGAGCTTAAAGGAAAAGCCATATCTGTGAATATCTCCGAACACAGCATGCCCTATTATGGCCCAAGGGAAAGAGTGAAACCTACATTAAGAATAATAGAGAAAATGGCTCTGTGACATCATGATTCAGGTTAAGGAATGAGAAATTTAAGTGTATTTTTGATGTACAATAGTTGTTGAATTGGTAATGTGAAGCTGTAATGCTAATATTAAAAGCTGATCAGAGAAATCCAATTCTTGGCCTTAATATTAATGACAATGAATGACGGGTTTCCAGGTAATAGGAATAATGTTGGTAAACACAGGCACAATCTTATCAGTCTCAGAATTCCAGAGAAGA